TTACTATTGTGCTTACATCATTTTAATGTATTTCAAAGACTTTTTTTTAAACACAGATACATTCGTGCCATATTTCCATCCACAAATAAAATGCTTGCTGCATACATTTGTATTCCTTCAGTCACGGGTGCGGGTAAACATTCGTATTTTCAGACAATTTCCACGAGGCATTCTTCAGTCTGTTCTGTGTCTGCCCCTAAATAGCTTTTGAGTTTGAGGGGGCAACGGCGGTGCTGTTGATGAATTTAAAAGAAGCCCAATCCCAAGCTAAAGATCTTCGTCACTTTCGACGGATAGTAAAAAAGTTAGGCATGTTTCCATCAGCCTCTTCAAGCCCGTTGGAGAGCCCTTGCGCCAAAGTATAATGGCTCTCTGTACCCACACAGATGGAGAAGTACACATTAGGCTTTACTGATATGCTATTGTTGTTAGGCCAAGAGAGGTTTTAATTTATTTTGTAATTTTGTCTTGGGAGCTCGGTTGGATGTTGTTTGTTCTTGGTCTGTATGATTGGCTGACTGAGGTTCACAACTGCCTCTTTGTCATGTTCTGTGTCCCTTTGTTCCCCAGCCCCTCCAGTTCCCACTCCAGGTTCTCCTTTTGCGTTTCATAGCGCCCTCATGTGTCCTTTGTCTGCATCTCATTTATGTGTCTCTTTGTGTTCCTCATGTGTCCCCTGGTCTTCAGCCTTCCAAATATATCTCTCAGGTCCTGTGTTCCTTTAGTCTTCTCCATTCACCCCTCTGCAGTGTTTATAGTTTCAGCTTTTCATTTCGTTAGTCACTTTTATATGTTTTGTCCCACCAGTCTTTGTAGTTCTCCTTCCCTTTAGAATATTAGTTATGTGGTTGCTTTTCTTGTTTTTAGGCTTTTTCTTAGGTCATGTGAGTTCGCTCCCTGATTAAGTATTGCTTTCACCTGGTCCTCTCCCCACACACCTGCAGCTCATCTGCCTCCCATCATGCCCCAGTTTATTTAAGCCCTGTCTTGTCTCAGTGTCTTGTCGGTCCATTGTTGTTTGTTCAGTGTTGTTTTGGTGCTCTGTGTGAGCTTCCTGTCCCGTGCCCAGTTTGTGCTCAAAGTGGGCTTTGGTTCTCATGTTCTGGATTTTTGGATTTTGGCTCTCTGCCTTTTTTTTTTTTTAAATTTAATTCTGTTTATCCTACAATAAAAGGATTTTTTTCTTCACATCCACTCCTGCCTCGTGTCATCCTGGGTTCTGCATTTTGGGTTCTAACATCCCTCCAAAACGTGACACTACTAGAGGAAGCCTCATTTTGGTGGGTAGAATCAGTCAGCGGCAGCTTCTCAAATGCGCAATTCATCATCAGTCTGGACGCAGTAGGGTAAACATCTTCTCTCACTGCATCTTAGAAATGCAATGCTTCAGCTGCGGCAGTGCAAGCATAGACTGCTTTGAGGAGCACACAGCAGTCTCGGTGAGAGAGCAGGAAACAAAGTGCTTCATATCAAAGCCTCCAAAAGCAGCACTGTTCACAGCTGCTTTAATTTACTAAGGAGAACACCACAGACTTGATTTCTCCATTCTCAGCTAATCCCATCAATGTTCAGACAGTTAAGATCTGGAATCAGTTTAAATGGTTTTTGGCTTCATTGGATAATCATTTACTGCTCTTGTGTCGAAGAACCATATATTTATTCCTCCTGTGTCTGATGAGGTCTTTAATGAGTGGGCCACTAAAGGTATCTTCTCTAGATGACTTATACATTGATGGTATATTTGCCTCCTTTGAACAACTGGTGGCCAGATTTCGTAACCATTTAGGTATTTACAAATGTGACATGTTGTCAAATCTAACTCTGTGTTTTCCCTTGTGCCCATATTTACTTGATTAGATCTTGAGCTCTTGGACATCAACCAAGAAAATTTTGAGTAAACTCTATACCCAGCTCAGTTCACATCATCGGACCAGTTTGGGCGTTTTAAAGCAGAAATGGGAGCTAGACCTGAGTAATGGATTATCAGAGGAGACCTGGCACAAGGTTCCACAGAATATCCATTGATCCTCGATCTGTGTGAGTGTTATTCAGTTCAAAGTGGTGCACCGTTTACATTGGTCCAAAGATAGAATATTTAAAATTAAGCTAGACTTGGACTGAAGTTGGACCCAACTTGTTTTATGTTGCAAGAAATCACCTACCACACTTCTTCATGTTCTAGTCCGGCCCAAAACTACAGTCATTCTTGATGTACCCTCCACCGTTTGTAAGACTACTGTGCCCTAAGACCCTTTGTCTGCTTTGTTTTGTTGTGGCCGCCGTGGAAGCTTCTTTGGAAGTGGGGGACATAATTAACAGTAATTATTTGACCCACAGTGACTGAAGTTTCAACAGCTGTCACAATTCTAGAAGTGAAACTTGAAATGACTTGAAATTAAAATAAAAAAATGCATTTTTTTCTTTCAAAATAATTGAAAGTTTTGTTGTTTTCTACAATAAATAAAATGTTTTACATTAATAAAATAATTTTCTTTCCATTTAAACACCTAAGTAGCTGGATGATGCAGAACAACACATGTGATGATGAGATTACATTCTAACAAATGAAAGGCTGAATTTACTTAATCAACTTATGTTCACTGATTTCTCTAAATGTAGTTGCTCATAATGAAAAGAACAATGCCCATCCATCCATTAATTTTCATCCGCATATCCAGGGTCGGGCCGTGGGGGCAGCAGCATAAGCAGAGAGGCACAGACTTCCCATTCTCCAGTCTCTTGGGCCAGCTCTTCTGCAGGAATCCCAAGGCGTTCCCTGGCCAGCACAAAAACATAGTCTCTCCAGCTTGTACTGGGTCTCCTCCTGGTTGGACGTGCCCAGAAAACCTCACCAGGGAGGCATTCTAACCAGATACCCGAGCCACCTCAAATGGCTTCTTTCAATAAAAAGCAATGTATATAACGATTTATAACAATGTATATTACTCTTTACGTTGAAGAAGAAACAATCTTTTATATAGGGCCTTTCAAGATAAAAATCTAGATAAAAAATCAAATAGAAGCAGTTAGGTTTAGTGGAACCAGTTGATATAACTTGGTTGGGTAAATTCAACATTTCCTTTCTTACAGTGTAGCTTCTAATATTTGCATCACATGGGATTATAGATCAACAGATTTGATGAAACTGCATATAAATAATATAAGATCAGCAATAAATAAGAAATTCTGCTGCTTTTGAGCTTCTTTACTGTCAATCTAATCCCAAAGTGTATAATCACAGAACCATCAGCTCTCAAAGTTAATCTCCAGATTAAAATCTCCCTTTATTCACACTTGGCTGAGTGAAGTAATTAAATAGTCATCCTGACTGTGATACACATGAATGAAAAGAAAATAAAGAAACATAAATCATTTTTTAAAGTTGGAAAATTGTATTTTTGACATTTTGGGGTTTCTATCAAAGCTAAACGAAACTAATTTTACCAACCAACTGCTTAAGGTCAAATGTTCCAAAAATATGCTTCATTTAAAAAAAAAAAAAACAACCACCCAGATTTTACACCACCAAGTCAGTTAGAGAATTTTTCCAATCTCCAAATAAGAAAGAAGGCATAATATAAAGTTTAGTTACAGCTCAACTGTTTTTTCATCAGGTTATGAACCAATTTAACCAGTATTGTGGTTGATGGTTAACAATTCCATACTGCTTCATATGGGTCACAATCAGGGGTTATTAGCATTAACATGTAACAGGGCATGACCACAAGCTTGAGTTGATGCTGATCATTTTGTGTATTAATGGGAAAATCCCCGCCTAGGTATAAATATTGCTAAAAGGCATCTGCTATTTTAAAAAGAAGTGACAACAATAACACATGAATGCATTTACTACTGTAGCATAAGACAATATACGGAAAGATAAAAGCAGAGCTAGCCTGCACTTACTTGCACTTTGCTGGAGTCATGGAGACATGACATCACTACAACAGGATTGGATTTTTGTGTTATTCCTGGGCTAAAGTAGCGTTAGTGATATGTCAATTTGTGCAAAATTAGCAATGAAACCAATGCTTTGCTGTATGTTTGCCATAAAATTGGTAAATACTACAAGCCTCCAAAGCCAATGTCTGAGTGTGGAAATGAAACTAAGAAGATTTACTCTTGGTTGTGTTTTGTTTCTTAGAACTGTTGATGACTTGATTTGAAGGTCACTTTGGTGTTTTTTCTTATGCTTTCCAAGCAAAGCTCAGCTGCATGTCAAAAACAAACACTGCAAACAAAAACTCTGGGAAAAGGGAATTTTCTCAACAACAAGACAAGTTCTTCCTACATTTATAAAGTGTTTCAAAGAGACAATAAAGCACAACTTCCTCCACTGGTCATAATGTGCCTCCTTACAAAGTTCCTCTGCATTTAAAATTCAAACTAATGGCAGTGATCCCATACCCATGCATCATCTCTCATGTTGCAGAACTTCAACAACAACTTGGCTGATCGCCAGTTTGTTTAAAAAAATTATTCATTCTAATATGAAGTTGAAAATGGTATATTTTCATCTACGAATGACAAACTACTTTTATTCCTGAAATTCTTTACCCTAAAATTCTCCACTGTTCTAATCCTGTTTAATTGAGGACATTGACCCAGAACGGTTACATCACTTCAATCCCAAGAGCCTTAGTGGACTTGGGTCTGAGAAAGGTCACTAAAAGTAGAAACTGAAGAGGCCAGTTCACAGACTTTGAACATGGAGAGATGGCAGACATGTCCTGCTGAGCCTTTATGAAGACTATCGCACGGTGTGATCAAATCTAACCCTAACCCACTCTGCTTTACCTCCCTGTTGATTAACAGAAGATACCTGGTATTCTCAGAATAAGTTATGAAATTATCCCTTCATTCCTTTGTTGGCTACAGGTTCAGTGGAATATAAATGTCTGAAAATCTGTAGTGTGAGGTTTGTTTCTGGTGGAGGAGCTGTTCTGTTGACTTCCAAAACTAAATGAAATGAGTAATGGATAGGTGTATGGATCACAGACCTTTGGTGCCTCCTCCAGCCTGTCCACCTGGTTGCTGCCCAGCAGGGTTTTTATGACATATTCAACCTTGGCGTTGTACTTCATAAACGTCACGTAACAGGCGTAGCATGTCAGCAGGCTGGCGCTTTCCATCACCGTGATTTGATTATCCAGAAAGAAATAGATGAGCATGAGCAACCCCACGATGTAAAACGAGACATCTCTGAACAGAGGCCACCAGGTGAGGTTCAGCACCTCTTTGGAGAACAGGGCACACATTCCGATCACAAACAGGATGTTGAAAACAGCTGAGCCCACAATGGTGCCAATACCCACATTACTGTGGGAGATGAAGACCCCTATGACGGAGGTAAAGAGCTCCGGGGCTGAACCACCTGCTGCCATGAAGGTGGCCCCTGCTACATCGTCTGAGATCTCCAGCTTCTCCGTGATGACAGTGAGTGCGGGGACAAAAAACTCATCGCACACGATGGCCAAGGCTATGAACATGTACAACATCCCAAACATATGAAGAATCACATAACCCTGACGTCTGTCCTCCACACTGAAATAATCTGTGGGGTAGTCTCCTTGGTTCATCTCTAAGTGGGCGGACTTCATGGCGACTGGCGTGTCCTCTGGGGCCGCTGAGATGTTGTGTTGTTGCAGGAGAGTTCTTTGGGGTACCGCTGCATCAGCTGAGCCCTCAGCAGATGACTCTGGCTCAGTGACCACCGCTGTGGCCAGTGATAAGGCACTGAGTGTACAAACTGTGCAGACAGCCACCACGCTGACGATGAAGCCTAGAATCCGTCCAGGCCGCAGCTTTCTCTTGACAGCCTGGTAGTGGAACCTGGTTCTGGTGCTGTGGGGATCCAGAAAAGGATCAGAGCAGGAGAAAACTATAATGTCCTGACTTCTTATGGGTAGCATGTAATCCATGGTGTTTGGTGAAGATTATCAGGCGGAGATGAAGCGACTGAAATCCCCCTCCCTAAGGTTGGTGGTGCCGGTGGGGTTTGACAGGCAGCGGCGGTTCACCGTTTGGTTTGCATGCTGCTCCCAGTCCTAAACACCATGGACACGCTGTAGTCTGATCCCAGGATCCAACACGTTCAAAGGCTTCCTCATATTACTCACTGCAAGACAGAAAACACAGATAACTACCATATCAAGTTCTTCTTTGCAAAACAGTTACATTTTGAACCTTATTGGCCTAAAACAGCAGAAGCTAAATTACTGTTATATTACACGCAAAATTTTGAAATACCTCCAACAGCAGCTGACCCTAGCCTTCCCCCCATTAAGTCCGCCCCTGATCCTTAAACCATCATTTTGTTTTCTTTGAAGTATGGAAAGATCAAATCCATGGGAATAAGGGATTCTTTCACAAGACTTTGAGTCATTTTGTTTCAGATTTCCGGTTTCAGTTGTCAACTTTATTATTTTTGCAATAGATGTTAGGTATGGCAGAATAAATAGATGTATAATTTGTTTGTATCCTTTAAAGCAGGGGTATTCAATTCCAGGCCTGGAAGGCTCGTATCCAGTACGTTTTAGTTTTAACTCTGTTTCAACACATCTGGTTTTCATCAGCAGGCAAGTAGGCTTCTGCAGAGCCTGACTAGCTGTTACACAGGTGACTCAACCGCTGAATCATGTTGGAGCAGAGAAACCACTAAAACATACTGGATACCGGAACGCTGGGTGCAGAAATGAATACCTGTGCTTTGAATGAGTCTGTAAATGGTGATTTTGAGACCAGCAACTAGCTTCAATTAATGTCCCCTAAAACAGGTCTGGGATGTTGATGAGGGAACCATCTTGATTCTGTCAGATAGTACATTTGTTTTCTAATTTGTGAAAGGAAAAAAAAGTTTTTAACTGTATTTTTTCTTTCTGTTCTCATTTTTCTTCATCGTTTTCAGTTCATAGTGTCATTTAAAGATGCATTGGCTGCAATAATCTCATTTCAGGTTATTGTGATAACAGGCAGCTTTGCATTTACAATTCATAAAAAAACATGAATATTGGAGTTTCTGATTTTAAAAAGTCCTGTTGTCAAATATCATCAAATGCATCTGAGAACATTTCAAAAGTCAATTAAATCACTTTGCAGCATGAAAACTATATTAACACTTTACAACAGAGGCCCCTTTATTAAAGTTACTTAGTGTATTATTAAGCATTAATGAACTATTTAATAAAGTATTAAAAACAGCTTAACTATTTTAAGTAATGCATTACTAAGCAGGACCCCCCCCCCCCCCCCCCCCACCCCTGGCCCTTTATCCTAACTTTAAGTACAGTTAATAGTTAACAATATCAGAAATGTTAATAAAGGGGCCCTTTGTTTATTAATGCTTAATAATACACTAAGTGATGATAATAAAAGAACCCCTATTGTAAAGTGTTGCCAAAACTACCTCAAAGAAAGACAGAAAGAAAGAAAGAAAGAATGAGAAACTCAATTCAGATGGTCAAGGGACAAGATGTTTTAGCTCTGGGTTTATAAGTCAGCGCCTGTTAGAGATTGATGGTGCACGGGTGCACGTGGCATGGCAAACTGGCATGTTAGCAAAGAGACCTTCAACAATCTTTGGTCCCAGATTCAGTTTATGGAGCACCGGGTTTGCTTTCTTTGGTGAAACAAAACCAAAATATAATCTAAGAACATGTCAAGTCCAGGGATCTGGTCTTCATAAGGAAGCGTGACGCTGTATTATTAAATACATCCGTTTCAAAATTATAATTCATTCACAACTGACTTTTAGTTGTTTTTGACATTTGAAAAGTTTTTCTATTGTTTTCTTATTTTGTTTTTGTAAAGTTGACATGAATATCAAACCGTCTTAATCTGTGCTAATTTTATTACATTTAAAATATCCAATTCAGTTTTTTCTGAAAAACAAAACTCCAAAGCATAAAGTAGAAAAGACAATTCAGCTGCTGCGATGTCAGTGATTAAATCAGATTTCTGACAGAATTTGACTTTAGTTATTTGACATTTTATAAAGTGGAAAAGACCAACAGAAAAACAACAACATTATTTTCTATAATTTCTTGATTTTTGAAAGCTTTACTTGTTGTTGCATCTTGTTTGATTGTAGATCTATTTTTAAAAAGTGGTAAAAAATAAGTAAAGGTCTTTTGGTGTTAAATGATGAAGTCATAATAAAGGTATTAACAGCAGTGGTTCTGTTAATGTGACAAAGCTTTGTTCTGCAGAGAACCTTCAGAGGGAGCTCTCCTGCAGCCTGGACATTAGTCAAAGCTCATTAAGAAGCTATTTAATCCCTGAGAAGATATACTTAGATTAACCTGAGGCCCTGCTCATTGGTGCCACTGCACAAAGTCAAAAGGCAGACAGGCAATAAATCAATAAATACAAGCATGAAAAACAAAAGCTGGTTGTGGTATTTAAATGTATTAAAATCAGAAAGGTCAGACATTTTAAAACCTGTTATCTTTGCATCTGACAAAATTTTTTTTGTTTTATTCTGTCTGTCTGTCAATTGTGAACATCAGTATTTCAATGATGTTTTCAAAGTTCATAAGTCTTAAAACACAATATGAAACTGTTTTGTCAGACTGAACCATTAAAGACAACCAGAAAGAAGCCAAATGTTTATTCTCATACCAATCCTGGATGTTTCTCCTTCTGCAGGATGTCCTCCAGCTGGAAGCTCTCACTCAGATCCAGAGCTCCTGGGGAAAATATTCCTGTAAAATGACTCCCAAAGCAGCACAATCCCAAACACCTAGTGTTCAATCTGAAGGTCCCAGCAGCTAATCCAAAGCAGGATTTTCATGTGTGAACAGAGGTGGAGCTCCGGGACACACGCTGAGAATGAGACACTCCCTCTTTCATCGTTCCTCCTTCTTCTGTGTCCTCGTTTTCCTCACTTTTCTGTCCAAGGCTGAAGGTTACCGCTGCATCTAGACCCCAATTTGTTAGGTATAATCCAGCTTCAATAGTCACAAACTAAGAAACATCAGTCTTTTGCATTTTGTGTGCTCAGCTCTTTCTATGAAAACCGTAAAAGTGAATATTATAAGTCTGCAAAAATATTTAAATCGAAAGAAAAAACATTTTATTTTCTGTTTTAATAACAAACTTCAATCATTCAGGCTGGTTGTGCTTTGTGATTTAGTTATAAATAACAAGCTGCTGGAGGTGAGATCATCCTGCCTTCTGTCTTTTATTCGCCACTGGTCTGTAATTGGCTCTGGGTGCAACACCTGCTCTTTGCAACAACGCTGACACATGCTGCTAATTAGGCTCTGTGAAGACTGCATGCACAGATGCACTTAAACAGACACCAGTTCATGCAACCTGTGCATTGTTTGCTGTTAATGACAACATGCAGTGTAATTTGTTAGAATTAAAGGCTGTTATGTTGTTTTGTTTACCAGCAGAATTTAATGAGGAATGAGCAAAAATCAAGACACATCTCAAATTGTGTCAGAATGAGAAAATCCAAAATTCTTAATTTAGTCGGCAATTTTCTGAAGGACTGCAACAACATTTAAAAAGATGGAATTGGTGCAACAAAACTAAAAGCTGTAATAAAATATTCAGGAGCTTTATATTGTTTTGTTATTTATATATTATTTGAAAATTGCTGCAGTAAAGTGAAGAAGGAGGCCTACTCCTCCTTGAACCGTCACCTTATCGTGGTGGAGGAGTCTGAGTGTCCTTATGATCCTAGGAGCTATGTTGTCTGGGGCACTTTGTGCCCCTGGTAGGGTCTCCCATGACAAATTGGTCTAGGTGAAGAGTGAGACAAAGAACAGTTCAGAGGGTCTTTCATGGATGAACTATCAAGGAGTCGGAGTACCTGGCCCGGAGGGTTATCGGGGTCCCACCCTGGAGCCAGGCCTGGGGTTTGGGCCCGTGAGCGAGCGCCTGGTGGCCGGGCTTTTGCCCATGGGGCCCGGCTGGGCCCAACTCAAACCGGATACATGGGCTCATCCAACTGTGGACCCACCACCCGCAGGAGGAACATGAAGGGTCTGGTGCAGTGTGGATCGGGTGGCAGACCGAGGCGGGAGCTTTGGCGGTCTGATCCCTGGACAAGGAAACTGGTTTTTGGGACATGGAACCTGGCCACCTCACTGGCGAGGAAGGAGCGGGAGCTTGTGGCACAGGTTGAGCGGTACCGGCTAGATATTGTCGGACTCACCTCGACACATAGCGTTGGCTCTGGAACCCAAGTCCTTGAAAGGAGTTGGACACTCTCCTTCGCTGGAGTTGCTCCGGGTGAGAGGCGGAGGGCTGGGGCCGGCTTCTTGTTAGCCCCAAGACTCTCTGCCTGTGTGTTGGGGTTTACCCCGGGGGAAGGGAGGGTAGCTTCCCTGCACCTTCAGGTTGGGGAACGGGTCCTGACTGTTGTTTGTGCTCATTGGCCAAATATCAGTTCAGAGCACCCACACTTTTTGGAGTCCCTGGGACAAGTGCTAGATAGTGCTCCATCAGGAGACTCCATTGTCCTGCTGGGGGACTTCAATGCCTACGTGTGGAGGGGGCATGGGAGTTTGCCCAACCAATCCACATGTGTTTTATGCATTTGGAGAAGGCTTATGACCGTGTCCCCAGGGGCACCCTGTGGGGGACGCTCCAGGAGTATGGGGTGGGTGGCTTTCTGTTAAGGGCCATTCAGTCCCTTTACCAGAGGAGCGTGAGTTTGGTCCGCATAGCCGGTAGTAAGTCGGACCCGTTCCCGGTGAGGGTTGGACTCCGCCAGGGCTGCCCTTTGTCACCGGTTCTATTCATTACCTTCATGGACAGAATTTCTAGGCGCAGCCGTGGTGTGGAGTGTGTCGAGTTTGGTGGCAGGAGAATCTCGTCTCTGCTTTTTGCGGATGATGTGGTCCTCCTAGCTTCATCCGGCTCTGACCTTCAGCTCTTGCTGGGTAGGTTCACTGCCGAGTGTGAAGCGACTGGGATGAGGATCAGCACCTCCAAATCTGAGACCATGGTTCTCGACCGGGAAAAGGGTGGCTTGCCAACTCCTGGTCGGGAGAGAGGTCCTACCTCAAGTGGAGGAGATTAAGTATCTCGGGGTCTTGTTCATGAGTGAGGGTAGGAGGGATCGGGAGATCAACAGGCGGATTGGTTCAGCATCTGCAGTGATGCGGACGCTGAGCCGATCTGTCGTGGTGAAGAGGGAGCTGAGCCAGAAAGCCAGGCTCTCGATTTACCAGTCGATCTACGTCCCAATCCCCACCTATGGTCATGAACTTTGGGTAATGACCGAAAGAACGAGATCGTGGATACAAGCGGCTGAGTTTCCTCCGTAGGGTGGCCAGGCTCAGCCTTAGAGATAGGGTGAGGAGCTCGGACATTCAGGAGGGACTCGGAGTAGAACCGCTGCTCCTCCGGATCGAAAGGAGTCAGTTGAGGTGGTTTGGGCATCTGGTCAGGATGCCTCCTGGACGTCTCCTTGGGAAGGTGCTTCAGGCATGTCCTGCCGGCAGGAGGCCCCCGGGTCGACCCAGGACACGTTGGAGAGGTTACATCTCCAATCTGGTCTGGGAATGCCTTGGGGTCCTGCCGGAGGAGCTGGACGGAGGTGGCCGGGGAGAGGACGGTCTGGAGCTCCCTAGTTGGGATGCTGCCCCCGTGACCCGAACCCGGATAAGCAGAGGAAGACGACGACGATGACGAAGTGAACTGATCGCCTTCTGAAAAGGGGCGATTTTACCAATCTATGAAAAACTGCTATACTCTAGCTGCAGTCAACTCTTTGTGAATCTGCACAACATATAATGAGAAAAAAATCCCAGAAAATCACATTGTCTGATTTTTAATTAATCTATTTGCAAATTATGGTGGAAAGTAAATATTCTGTCAATAATTCAATTCCATCTCAATACTTTCTTATTTACCCTTTGTTGGTAACAAAAGAGGTCAAAAAATGTCTGTAAGTCTTTACCAGGTTTTCACATACTGTTGCTGGTATTGACATTCTTTCATGCAGATCTTCTCTAGAACAGTGATGGTTTGAGGCTGTTGCTGGGCAACATGGAGTTTCAACTCCCTCCAAAGATTTTCTATGTGGTTGAGATCTGGAGACTGGCTAGGATACCTTGAAATGCATCTCATGAAGCCACTCCATCACTATCCAGGCGATGTGTCTGGAATCATTGTCATTTGTTATGACTGGTGCTATTTGTGTTTTTTATGTTTCTTCCTCTTCTCGCTCCTCTGTTTTTACCCCTCCTGTGTGAGAGGAGCTGTTTTCCAGCTGAAAGACCCAATCACGTTTCATCTTCAATGCCCTTGTTGAGGGGAGGAGATTTTCACTCAAAATCTGATGATTCATGTCCCCATTCATTCTTTCCTTTACACGGATAAATCATCCTGGTTCCATTGCAGAAAAACAGCCCCAAAGTATAATGTTTCCACCCCCGTGCTTTACAGTGTATGGTGTTCTTTGGATTCAGCATTCTTTCTCCTCCAAACATGATGAGTTTTTACCAAAAAGTTGTGTTTTGGTTTCATCTGACCATATTATCCCAATCTTCCTCTGGATCATCCAAATGTTCTCCAGCAAACTTCACACGGGCCTGCACATGTACTTAGGGATGTCCCGATCACGTGGTTTTAGACTCGATCGGGACTCGGGCTTTACTTCCCGATCCAAGTCCCGATCTGAACTCGGATACTGGGTTCAAATTGCAGGAGAGCAACTTGGTTCTCCTTAAAAGTTGTCAGGCTCCCCTGATGCCCTTAACTTACACACCCGGAAGGAGCACAAAAAAGATCCAGTTTCTACCTTTATTATATTATTTATATGGACTCAGCGTAGCGGGGATTCTTTTGGGCAGAGATGCAGAGAGCGGCAGGCAGACCGCTGATTATTCATGAACTCCAGCTGCGTTCTGCACACGGCCACAGTAACATTTTTTAAGTTTCTAAGTGGCGTCACTAAAAATATATATAATTAACACACAGTTTTTCGTGTCCGTTCATTTTCTCTCTGGTAAGTTAGCTAAGTTCTGTCTGTATTTGAGCATGACGTGTGGACGCGCTCGCGCTGCAGCGCTCGTCACTGGCGCAGCCGGGCAGAGCAGCGCACACTCCGCTTTTTTTGTGGTCAATAGATCAATTTGATCTGCTAGTTAAAAAGTTACTTGTGAGGTGAAAAAGAAGGAAGCAGGCAGGAGTTTTTCTGGAGGACTGGGAGATGCAGGAAGATCAGAGACAGACAGGACAGGAAGACAGGAAAATAAAAACCAAGAAAACAAAACAAAGTTCTTAAAAAATAAAATGTAGGTAGATTTATCCCACTACACGTTTGTACCTGTATAAAGCAATAATTTATAAGCATGTAGTATTTATATAGTTGATACAATTCAGATCATCTTCAAAACTCCATCCCATGCCCAGGGACGTATCTAAGCATTTTGGGGTCCGAGGCAAAATAGCCCCCTGCCAGGTATTTTAAGTGGAAGTGCTATCTGTTTATATATTACACTTTTTATATTTGCAATGAAGTCCAAAAGTGAAGAATTTATTTTATTTATTACTTGGTTGTTTAAGCTACCTCACAGAAGTGGTCTGTTGTTAAAAATTAAAATAAAAAGGTAATAAAATAAAAAATAAGGAACATTTTGGAACTGTTTCTTCCTTTTCTTTCTTTATTTATTTTTATGTATCAAAAGTATCGGATCGGGACTCAGTATCGGCAGATTCTCAAAATCAAATGACTCGGACTCGCGGACAAAAAAACCCGAGTGGGACATCCCTACATGAACTGGCTTAAGCAGGGGGACACATCAGGCTCTGCAAGATCTGAGTCCCTGCATGGCGGCGTTGTGTGTTACTGATGGTAATCTTTTTAACTTGGTTCCCACCTCTCTGGAAGTCATTCAATAGGTCTCCTTGTGTAATTCTGGGACTTTTGCTCACTGTTATTGTGATCGGTTTGAGCCCATGGGATGAGTTGCATGGAGCCCCTGATCGACGGAGATTATCAGGTCTTGCATGTCTTTCACTTTCTAATAATTGCTCCCACATCGAAATGACGTTCATTGTTTCACGGTTAATTCATTAGAAAAAAAAATTAAGGTAAAAGAGATTTATACAAATTTATCTTACTAAGATCCCGTGCCGATACTAGAAGAAACTTTTTTTCTAATTGCTCCCACAATTGATTTCCTAACACCAAGCTGCTTATCTATAGCAGATTCAGTCTTCCCAGCCTGGTGCAGGTCTGCAGTCTTGTTTCTGATTCAGCTCTTTGGTCTTGGCCATAGTGGAGTTAGGAGTGTGACTGTTTCAGGTTTGAACTGGGGCAGTGCATTATACAAACTATAAATGCTGTGTATAATCTGCAAAGTTCCCAGTGGTGTTATTTCACACTTTTACCTCAACTGAATCATCTTGTGATGTATTTCCTGTTCCTTTTCAGGTGCAGCAATTTTTACCATACACCTGTGCTGTTACGCGCATGCACACAGGAACCCTCTCTAATACAAAGACTAGGGGTGTTGTTTCTCAGTGTCACGGAAGCTTGCCTTGATGTGTTGGTCTCCCCCCCCCCCCCCCCCCCCAGGCTGCCTACGAACCGCCAAGGCATGTTCCAATGTTCATGTTCTACCGAGGCGTCTGTTCTCCACTTGTTAGCCGTTTAGCTAGCTGAGCAAAGAAGCACGGGAGGTGCCTCATAGTCTGGCCTTGGCCTCACCAGACATTGCCTTGCGAGGCCAGGTGCTTTGACATTGAGAAACACCCTAGGAGAGCCTTTAGGTAAATTTTTTATCTCACTGTTCTTCGTTTGTATTAGAGCAGCTGAGTACACCTCATGGAGTATTTTTTTATTACGGAAAACTGGAAAATGATGAAATGTGGCATCAGAGATTTGCGAACACTCTCTAGCTGGTAAAAAAAATAAACCCTAAACACTCAGGAATCAGCTCAGTGTGACGTTGGGACATTGGATTACACAAACCAAGTGGATTTTTCTTTTATTAAAACACAGATTATTATGACCATAAACCATCAAAGATAAGACAGAATTTACACATTTGACTTCATGAAATAAGCTTTGTTTGTTTTGCTCCTGAGTTTGCATATGTTGGTGAATATTAAGCATATTTTTTAAACAACTTTGTTGCTAGAGGTGTATTTTATACTGATGACAAGTTCCAACAGGTGCCATCAATACAGGTAACGAGTGGAGGACAGAGGAGCCTCTTACAGAAGATGTTACAGGTCTGCGAGAGCCAGAATTATTGCTTGGAGGCCAAATACACATTATCCACCATAATTTACTAATGAATTCTTTAAAAATCAGACAATGTGTTTTTCTGGATTTTTTCTCCCATAGTTGAGGTATGTCTACGATGAAGATCACATAACTCACTCATCATTTTTCAGAGGGAAAACTTGCACTATTGGAAGTTGACTGAATACTTTTTTTGCCCCATTGTGTGTGGCAGAGGTTGACCTTTAATGGTTTAAATTATCAGGCTTCAACTCAAATAACAGGAGAAGAAACAAAGACAAGGATTTAAAAAATTTGCTTCTGTACCAAAAACCAATAAAGAGCATCGGGTGTGCTGCAGCTTTCTAATAAAACACGTCTACAGAAAATAACATTTTAGGATTTCATTAGCTGTCTGACTGGAAGCCGACATGAAAACATTTCAGGAAAGTCATGCTACTTTGCAAAACGATGACATACTTTTCTCCATAGTTTTGTCATCTTAATCTTTTTCTTTCATTGTAAAAGTTGTGACCTCAGCAGACGCTAGGATGGGGACAGAGGAGTTTGAGTCATGAATCAGAGTTGTAATCTGCTACATTAAGCACCATGTAATGTCTTAAAAGGGCTAAACCTGTTGCACAATCAACCAAGATAACCTAAACCTCCTTCTGGTTCTGGCTGGGTACAGTCTCTAAGATACAGATGTATAGAATAAACCTCAAGGACCTTTGATACCCTCTATACTTTTTGAATGAATGAAATTGCGTATAAAAGCAGAAATTACTTCATTTATCATATGTTACAGAACAAATTAATTAGATGTTTAAATGATGCTGCAGACTTTGAGTTGATGTTAATTTGTCTCCCTGACTGATGTTTTCTTTGTTAGTTTTGGGGGATTTTCTACCAATCTGTTGGAGTTAAGATGGGTCCTCCTTAAAGAGAGAGAGAGAAAAAGTCAGAGAAAAAGATGTTCCTTTTTCAAGCTGGGATCAGCAGCAGCTTACTGGCTAAAGCTCCTGCTTGAAATACCTGCTAAGCTATAAGGGGAAAAGGGAGGGACTTTATTTCTAGTGAGGAGGAATGGTTCAGGTAATCAGAGAGATCAATATAATGAGTCTTTATCTCCTCTGAAGGGAACTGGCTGTTCAGGAGGCTCACCTCCATCTTTTACTACCACTTAGCTTGCCAAGAGCTAAAAGGATAGGAAATGTTCTGTTTTACATCTAAATCACACCTCTGCAAATACAAATCTAACCTTTTAGGTTCTAATAGAAATGTGCAAAGTTGACTTTCATGGTGTTGGCTCTTTAAGGTCCTTCTTCTCTATCCATCTTCTCACATGTTGGTTCAGCAGTTAAAGCACTCACCGCTGACGAGGACCTAAATGACCTGCAGGATGTAGAGGTGGATCAGTGGCACACATGTGACTTCAACAGCTCAAACTCAATAACCAACTCAAGTCCTGACCACAATTTTAGATAAGACGAGAAAAAAAATAACTCTTTCCTTCTGTCACTGCCCCAAAAATATATGATTTGTGTTCTATTACATTGTGATGAAGGATTATTTAATCTGTACTCCACATATGGTTTCAATTTTACACTGCAAGGATGTGCTTGGAGCTCTGTGAACAGCCAGCCTCTTTAGCAATGACCGTTTGTTTCTGGCTCTCCTTGTGCAAGGTCTATATATTTATTCTTGTTGAGTTTTAAAGATGGAAATGACAAAAATTAGAGAACGGACCAAAGATGTTAAAAAGAGATTTGCAGACAAGCATGCAGAGAAATTCTTGTAGCAGCATCACTGTAGAGCTGCATGAAGGCAACCAATACCTCGTTGCAAAAAAGTTTGAATCCCAACAGTTTTTCTGTGTGGCGTTAACCTGTTCTCCCAATGGGTCCATTTGTTTTCCCCAGATACTCCTGTTACCACCCACATACCAAAAACATGCATGTTAGTTTAACACTGTTGGTGAATTTAAACAAATAGTGAGCTCACAGGTTAACAGTCAGGTGTTAATTAGATTACTGGTAACTAATTCTTCTGAAAACAACCACTAGAGGGAGCTAAAGAGTTAGATTTCTGGAAACAACCACTAGAGGGAGCTAAAGAGTTAGATTTCTGGAAACAACCACTAGAGGGAGCTAAAGAGTTAGATTCCTTACAGGCTGAAGTTGATTGAAGGAATTGTAACGAGACTGATTTCATTTGGATCTGCAGATCTGAACCCATTACCACTAACTTTTACAAACTCTCAAATCCTCAGAATGGAATAGTTCTGATTTAATCACACCTGGAAAACTGGGATAAACCTGTATTCTCTGGTTATTGGGAATATTCCCATGAAAAACCAACTCAAGGACAGCTTTGGTTTTGTTGTGAGACTCTGAGCAGAGCAAGTGAACAGATACAAGTCACCACAGGATATTTGTTATACAAATCACGGGAAAATACAAGAAAGGATGGGTGTGTGAGAACCAGACTTTCTTCAAGGTTTTTGGAAAAGGAACAAATAAAAAAAAGGTTCTTTTAGGTGGAAATTCTACATTTAATCTTCTCAAATTCATTTTTTCCCATGCTAACGATCGTTGGATTCAGAGTTTATTTAAATATATTTAGAGATTTATTCTGAGTTAAACACACGAGTCATGAAACACATTTAATTAGAACTACCCCTTTTAAGCAAATACCACGTTTGTGTATGACTCATTATGGGTGAGGATCATCAGAATTTATGTGTTTTTATTAAGAACTTTATTTTTCCAGAACAAACGACAGCTCACATATAAACATCCTTACATCTCACATGCTTGTGTTCATCGCCACCATGATTGTAGTCAGCGCCTGAGCCACTAAAGAAGAAATAAAGCTTATTTGAAACTAAAACCAACAGATTACTAAACAATGGGGCAGATTTTTTTAATCTGCTAATATTTGCTCCAGCAGGTAAGTTTATCAGGTTGTTTGTCTTTTAGAATTCAATTATTTTCGCAGGCTTGCTGATGCATAAATATAACGAGTATTTTGATTCTGATTCAGTTGGAGAAAGCATAACTAATGTGCAGAGCTTCTGAAAACACTGAAACTCTCCGGAACCTTTAAAATGATCAAACCAGATTCCTAGAAGGTTCCATTAAGGCCGCTGTTATAAAGGCGATACACAGATGAAAGAAAATCCACCCACACCTTAGAAAATTACCCATGTTTAACCTTGGACTCCATCAAAGTGAGTAGTTTTAATGACTGCTCAGCACTTGGCCTTTTTGCCATAACTGTCCACCAACTCAGGCACAACGCTCTCATCTTCCTCTATGTCCTCTGTCACAGTTTTCCCAACCAGCTGGAAGATGTCCTCCGCTGCGACGCCCATGGGCTCAGCCACCTTCACCGCCAGCATGTCCAGAGTCAGGACCGTTCCTCTGGGGATCTTTACCTTGGCCACTACGGACTTACCCAACTAGAGGAAAGGATGTTTAAAAAAAAAAGAAGAAATTTACTTGGAATGCTGTAGATCTAAATAAATGTAAATCAAAAATTTCTCAGGATGTTTTTGTAAATTCCTTCAAGAATGAGTTGAACCGACCTTGTCGTGGCACGGCTTCTCACAGGGCAGCATCTGCTTGACGCCGCTTCCTAGCGCCCTCTCCACCAGTCGAATGGAACGAACCAGTTCAGCCAGCTCAGAAGGCTCCAGTGAGGCTGCGTGGTCGCTTCCTTTCCATGTTTTGTCCAAAGTAACGTGGCGCTCAATGACCTTGGCTCCCAGAGCCACAGCTGCCACCGAGATGTAGATTCCAGACTCGTGGCCGGAATAGCCGATGGGAATATCTGGAAATTCCTTTTGGTATTCCTGCAGTCGAGTGAATAAAAGTAGACCCGTTTTTAATTGAAGGAAACAAATCCCGATTTCAAATATTTAGGTGGTGGGACTTTGATTTAGGAGATGCGACACAGCAGGAAGTGTGCAGACAGAAATAAGGAGATCATATTTTACTCACCGTGATAACTCGGAGGTTGACATCTTCAGCCTCCAGAGGATAGGCACTGGTGCACTGGAGGATAGCAAAGTTTTGGTTGTGGTTCTTCACCGTCTTGTAAACACGACGCATTGTCTCCATGGACTGCATCCCACTGGACACCACCATGGGACGACCTGAGAGGGACAACAGGACAACCAGATAGCAGGTGCATAAGTAACATGTTTGCTGATGTGATGGCACTCTCACCTTTCTTGGCCGTTTTCTCCAAATATGGAAAGTTGTTGGTGTCTCCAGATCCCACTTTGAAGAAAGGCACGTTAAGTTCATGGAGAAACTCCACGGCCATCTAAAAAATTCAAACATTAGATGTTGGAGCTGAACTTCTCAGATGATCGAAGCATCTACTGAACTAGAGTCTCCTACCTCATCCATCCCAGAGGCCGTGAAGAAGATTCCCACCTCCTCAGCATATTTCTGCAGCTCCCTGTACTGCTCATGGCTGAACTCCAGGTGGCGCTTGTGTTCTCCATAGGTTTTCCCCCAGGAGTTTTTGGAAACATATGGACGCTCCAAGGCTCGCTTGCTGAATTTGAACTCCAACTCACTCTTCTGAAATTTGGCACAGTCCGCACCAGATTCCTGTGGAAGCGGTTATGGAAAACATGCGTGCCAGGTGTGTGTGTGAGTTTTAATGTTGAGTGTGTAAGGAGACAATAACATGAGCTTCCTTTTTTAGACTAGCAATGACTGAATGAATGAACTCTCCGTGTAAAAAACCGATAAGAAACAAGTCTATTCTGAGTGAATCAAACTTGCATTTACCTTTGCCATTTTGATCATTTTCTTGGCAATCTCGATGTCTCCTTGATGGTTCTGTCCAATTTCAGCTATGATGAAGCACGGATGGTTGCCTCCGATCATCCTTCCGGGACAAAGCTCAAACTTTAAAGGCATTTTGGTGGCGACGAAATAAACAAGAGCGAGCGGGAAAAGGTTTAAATGTAAGCGAACAGGTGGAGGAACGAAAGTATGGTTGGATTTCAGTGGAAAAGCCACCTAACGGGAGTGAATGACGTGCTTCACGTACAGGATTTGAGTAAGAACTTCCGCATTTGTTTACGACGTGTTCACGTAGGAGCCGGAAGTGCCTTCATAATAAAAGCACAAGAAGCAAAAGAGAACAATAATCACTTCTTACATTTTGTGTTCACCACTCCAACGCGTCTGATTCAATGGCTGCAACCTTTAGCTGGTCACCTCCACAGAAGCCTGTTAATAACCCAGGGATTAAAATTAGGTGTGTTGAAGCAGAGAAAGCTAAAATGTAGAGGCTTAATCTTCATTGCACATGTTCCACTGCATCTGGACCCAATCGCATGTTTGATCAGTGACTTGATGCAATTTGCTGGGTTCCTTGTATAGGAAACTTTTTTCTGATTGGCTTAAAGAACCTGTATTGGAATGTTTATATGTGAAGTGCCTTGAGACGACTCTTGTCGTGATTTGGCGCTATATAAATAACCTTGAATTGAATTAAATTGAGCTGGGCTTCAAAATGAGCTGAAACGTGCTGCATGGGGGCCTTCGGGGGCCGGGGGTGAACACTACAGCCTTAAACAAAACTTGAGTTAGCAGAAACAAAGCACCAAAACCCTAAATACGTCTTATATTTGGCATTTTTTAGATAAAATGTTATAGACACATCCATAAAAACCATAATTTTAAGCTGCATCAAACTACATTCTGGTAAAATTATAGATTTTTACAGAATTTAAATAAAGCATTTGATTATCATTTTCTTGCCCTTTTCATGCGGAAATTATTTTATTTAAGTCCACCTTTCTAAAACTTGATTTGATGTTAGTTGACAAGCCCAATCATTACCCAAAAATGGCCACTTTAAGATAACATTGCCGTTGCCCTCTGGCAAAATATATACCGGTAGGTTTTCTTTTTTATTGTATCAATATTTGAAATGTGCACAGTTGCATTTTTAACATCTTGTAGATAAAAGGAAAAACAATCTGGCTCAATTTAATTAACTTTCGATTTACTATTAGCTAAATAGGGGGAACATCTTCTAGTCATCCAGCCCACAGCAAAAGGAGAATTGAAAAGATGAATGCTATAAAGAAAATAGACATGCCATAAAGCATCAGTTGTTTCAAAATGTTTTAGAAAATTTGATTCACTGAAATGAGAAAATCTAAACACAGTTTAAGAGCTAAGCAGCACAAGTAATAAAGCAAAAGCAGTTATAAAGTAGTTTAAAGAATATGTGGTGGAAAAGAAGAATAAACAAATTTGCTGGAAATGAGGTGGAGGGAGGTGCAGCTAAAGCAAAGTCAACCCATGATCACACAAATGTGTTAATTGATGGTGATTGAGCAAATTTATCAAGTTTGGTTTGTGACTTTTTTGGTAGTATTTAATAAAGTTTTAATAAATGTAGTGGGCGCTGTTTTGAATCAAACAAAATCCCACTGATCAGTATAAGCTTGACAAAGATTATACCGTAAATCCTCTAATACAGGCCCGGGCCTGTATTTGACTCCAGCTCATCGAGCTTCAGGCCTTTATTGGAAGGAGGGCCAGTAGTCGAGGCAGGCCTCTATTTCTATTTGAGCAAAATGAACTAATGGTTCGCTGGAGTTTTTGACAATTAAAATTGCGCCCACATTTTCAAAGTTAAACACATTTCTTTTAACAACGGTAGTTTCTGCTTCAGCCCTCCCCCCCCCCCCCCTCCCCCTGCGCAGCGGCCGCAAACTCACTGATGCGCCTGCAGCCTCTCGGAGTTCCTGCTGCTCTAAACATTAAAATAATTATTTCATTTTCTGTTCCTCACTTCTGATTACCTTCAATGGTGTCTGTTTGTTGCAACAGCAGGTACAAAAACTAACTTGTTTTTATTTGACTATTTTTCTGTCCTGCCTGTTTATTATCTTCCTACATCTCCTCTCAATCCTAAAGAAAAACTGCTACCTGGGTTCTTATATATTCACCTTATGAGTTACCTTTGAACTGCAGTTCTAAAAGATCTACCGACCGCAAAAACAGCGGAGTGCTCGCTGCTTGCCGGCCGCATCAGTGATCGGTGCGTCACCAGAGGACAAAACAGGTGATGCGCCCCGCTCCACAGCAGCGAAACGCATCAGGCGCAAATAAAAGACAGAAAACATAAAAGGAAATGAGCTGACATGAACGATCGCGTGTTAAATTTGTTTTTAAGATGGCGACACCTAATTTGATAATGTTACTGTGGCCGTGCTCAGGACGCAGATGTCTGGAGCGCGTCAACAATCAGAGCTTTGCATGTGCAAGCTGGTTAAGGTTAGGATGGGGTGAGGGGAGGGTTAAATCACAAGAGGGAATAGGCCACAATTTGGTTAAATGTCCGTTTTACGGCGGGTGTCAGTACTGACGCTCTGGCACAGCGCGTTGCCTCCCGACACGCAGGAGCTTGCCACCTGCTGACAGCAGGATGCTGTCATTTCCGAGGACTGCATCTTGCCGGTCATTATCACGTGACAGCGACTAGTCGATGACAGGCATAAAAAGTCACTATAGGGAAGTCGACTAGTTCATACAACCCGTGCTACTGCTCTCCAGAGTGTTCTGCAGCATAATCAGCACGTTATCTTTGAACTTGATATCAAATTTTCGCCTCCTCTTCGTCTCATGCGGTCTGTCACTGGCAAATCAAAAGTGAGACGGATGACACAGCCGCACCCCGTACTTGCTTGTTACCACATTCCACCCGGCCACAATAAAATACCGGCCATTATTTACCTCCGCGACTCCGACACCGGCCAAAATATGATACCCGGCCGTTAATTGAATACAGGCCAATATTAGAGGATTTACGGTATATTTTAAGTACGGTGTGAAAGAAATATTGCATCCTGCTATACTGAACATCTTTTCTCGTGTCTTTCATTCTGCACAGAGAGACTTGGCTAACATCACCACTACAGCATCACAAACATCTGCCTTACCTCCTCCACCCCTGAGGCTGTGAGGATCCCTACATCTGAATCTCTGCATCTCTGCACTGCTCATGGATGAACTGCAGGTGGTGCTAGGGGTCACTGTAAGTTTATGCCCAAGCATTTTGTGCTAAATTAGCATAATATCTCATGTTTATTCTATATATTCATATTATCACCTTATTATTGTGAGATTCTAACACGCAATGTTTGAGCTCTAGTTTCACAATTGAGTTTATTTCTGTCGCTGTCCATCACATCAGCCATGATGCTTGCATTCTTCTCCATGTTCTCTATTCTGGTCTTTCCAGCTTGACGATGTATTCTGCAGTAATTCTCATGATTTCCCCCACCTTTAGGATATCAATAATACTAATAAATATTTTTGTAAATCACTTTACATCAATCAGAAACATCTCAAATTCCCAACAGATTAAGGAACTAGTTAAAGCATGCTGAGTGATAAATAACAAAACAAAATTATAATCAACGTTTCCAATGTACTGACATACTGATACTTGGTGTTTTGAGCCTTAGCTCATTCTGCTGCCAATCTGATACATCTGTTATTACCGTGTGACTGACCTCCACACTTTCCCAGAAAAGGAATGTGTTATGTTCCAAGAGGCTAGACTCTCATGAATCATTGAGTGTTGTCAACTTTTAGGGTCCACCTTAAAGGTGGCAGCCATGGCCAAATTACATTAATGAATGCAAAAAGGGCTACAGCTATGTCATTTTTACAGATAATAAATTTAAATATCAAGAGCGCTTTTTCAATTTTACTTTCTGCTTTTGCAAGATCAAACATTATTTGTTAGATTTGAAGAGATCAGTTACATTTCAGTCATTTCTAAACAAAAGTTGACAGTTTAATGATCTAATTTTCTTCATTTCATTTCAAACACATATTATCTCATATTTTACTTTTTTGACCTAAAATAGTAAAATTCATTTAACTTCATTTTAATTGTTACTTTAATTACTTTGTTAGTTTTTATTTTATGTGAGTTGATGGGTTGTTTCTGTAATTAATTTGTTTACTTTGTTATTATTATTATTTTTGGGTTGTTTTCCTGCAAAATATGTAAAAATAATAATTACATTTAGTTAAATTAAGTTAGAACATAGAATCTTTCTGTAAAATAAAAAATAAAAAACATGCTTGGATTAAACATAATAAAACATGTAGAAAAGCATGTTAACCTGATAGTTTTGCACCAGCAAATTATAAAAACACCTGACATGTTATGGTCGCTTTGTGTAGCTGAATGCATTTAAAGAAAGAACATGATCAGTTTCAAAGATTTTAAAAGTTTCTTGTTCCAGAAGGAGTCAGAGCATCAGTATAAATGCATTAAACGTGTGGTTCAATACATTTGCTGTGGTCTCTGTAGGAATGAATGCTTTGTAAGTCGTACTCTGGGTACAAAACGCCCTGGTGCACCTGTTTCACAATCGAGAAGCTTGCCAGATCAGAGTTGAATTTCAGTTGAGAGGATTTGGAGTGTTACTTCCTGTTATTTGGACACATCACCTCTGATTGGCTAACAGCAATACGATTTTACCACTGCGTCTGTTAACTTTGAAATGTTGATGTTTTATCTCCACAAATAACACAAGCCTGGAGGAGGTCTGCCGTGTTGTGGAGTTGCTAATGCCAACAGTTAGCTTCTACAAGCCAAGGTGTTCTCTGTTGTTTCCTGGGCGCTAAACAAACAACAGCCTTCCCCTTCGTGAGTCAAGTTGGGTGAATCCATGAATGCTAAGGGTCAGTGTGATGTGCATTTTCAAATCCTAGAGTTTCACCGTCTATTTTTTATCAGAAGCTAATGCAGGAGATAAGTGTAGGAAAGAATTTTCATGTTCATCCTGCATGAAAAACTGACTAATTATAATCAGAAATAATCATAAAAAATGTTGTTGTTTTTTTCCATTGAACAACACCTTTAATGTCACAAAATGTTCTTGGTACATGAGCTACACCAAGAAAAATAAGATGAAAACAATCAGAATCCCTGTGTTGTATCTGATTGGCAGAGGAGAAACGCCGCAGGGCAGACAACAAGTGTCCCTTCTATCCATATTAGCTTTAGTTAGGGAAAACTAAATATTTGTTTTACCTAAAAGAATCACCAAACTATTTTGAAACTTCTGAAAGCATTGTGACAATCCTGACCAAAGCCAGAAACCTCAGAGGTGGTTTGTCACATAAAGTCGTGCCTTGAAGGGATATTTTAAATTTTTTTAAGTGGAAGTTATAACATAGGAAAAAGGACTCCATTTGCTGAAGGTTTTTTTTAAAACAACTTCAGTTTGGAGGAACAGAGATGTTAACTAGTCACAATGAGACAAAGTAACTATGTGAATTTAACTATTTCTGATTGCAAACCTTTTATTGTGGCTTTAGCCAATACAATTTTTACTGTTTAGAAGACTTTTTCCACAGAAACACAGCTTCAAAAGATTATTACCATCAAATTTACCAATGTTCTCTTCACAACAACTAAATATAACAGTCATTTTGTTCATGACTCATAAGTTTAGAGTTTCTCCACAGTGTAAAATTACCTTCATGTCTCATTTTGACCTTGGACTATATTCTAAACTAAGTAACCTTTAACAATTAGCACCATGTCCAGTATCTTCTGTTCTTCATCATTTGTTGCCATACTTCACTTGTCCACCACATCAGGCCTGATGCTCTCATCCTCCTCCACGTCCTTTTTCATGGTCTTTCCAACCAGCTGGAAGATGTCCTCAGCTTTGATGCCCATGGGCTCAGCCACCTTCACCCTCAGCATGTCCAGAGTCAGGACCGTCCCTTTGGTAAGCTTTACCTTGGCCACTACAGACTTGCCCAGCTGGAGGTAGAGAAATCAAAATGAATGATATTATGAAACAATAATGGTTTACATCGTCATCTGAGAGTTTAACCAACCTTGGAGTGGCATGATTCCTCAGAGGGGAGCATCTTCTTGATGTTGCTTCCCATTGCTGTTTCCACCAATCGAATGGAGCGAACAAGTTCAGCCAGTTCAGAAGGCTCCAGTGAGGCTGCGTGGTCACTTCCTTTCCATGTTTTGTCCAAAGTTATGTGGCGCTCAATGACCTTTGCCCCTAGAGCCACAGCTGCCACCGATATAGCAATTCCAGACTCGTGGCCGGAATATCCAATGGGAATATCTGGAAATTCCTTTTGGTATTCCTGCAGTCAACCAGGAGGTGAAGAAAGACTTTTCAGGTTGCCAAAATTAAAAGTTTACTTGAGAAACCTGATCTTGACACAGGAGCTCAAGCTAATTATGTGCATATATCCAGCATTCCTTTCATTTTAAAAACTGCAGATAGTAGACTGGTCCCTGTTCTTGTCCTGTTTGATGTCAGCTGAGTGTACATTTGACCTTGATATTCTCATTTCAGGAGCTTGACCATGCTATTGGGAATGAGGGAATAGAACTAAGCTGGTTTAGGTCTTTTTTAAAGAGCAAGTCACCACCTACAATAAACTTACTTCACTCCCACTTCATGTTTGAAAAATGCAACAAATGCTGTTGCTTGGCAGACCGAGAGGGCGGAGCCGCTAACAAATACACACACACACACAGGCTCACAATGGCATTATGACATCATAATCTACCAGATGACATCATAGCATACCTCTTAGCCAATAGCGGTGGCAGATTTAAATTCAAATACAGTGCAGAATTTTTCCCTGACGACGGCGCAACACTGACAGTTTTAGGCAGAATATTTGAATTTTAACCAAGATGCACTGAACTGCCAAATTATTGACTACACATGTCTGTAGCATGATTAGACACTCCTTTATATAGTTTATCAGCAAAAAAAAAAGTGATTTGGGGGTGACTTGCTCTTTAACTGATAAATTCCAGTTTGGACCTTTCTCTTGAGCCAACAGTTAGACACGGAGTTCCACAGGGTCCAGTGCTTGGTACAAAAACCTTTTCCTAAATAGTCCTACATTGGTTCTAATTATTTGACAGCATTAGATAAATTTCTAGTTTTATCTTCAGTTATTTTTATACATGGCTTGCAGAATAAGCAGCAGTATTGGTTTTGGGACATGAGAACTCTGAACCAGTGTAGTCATTCTCTTCTGCTGGACGTCATTAACTTAGCCTCCAGTAATAATGAAAGGGATCTCAGTATCGTATAGGAAAAAGATATGTCATTTAACTCTCATTTAACCCTATGGAGGAGGCAGACATTGCAGATTTGCAACAGTTAAAACCTACCTACCTGGTTACTCCATTTCATGAGCATTTTTTAACTCGGAAGTACCACTGAAAGACTTAATTGTTCGTCCTTTTATCAAAACTTTTTTGAGCCTGAGAGGGTTAAGGCATGCCACTTACAAATTTGCTACAATTAGGATAACCTGAAATTACGTTTACATTTAAATTAAGTTTATGACAACAATAGTTTATTCACCGGGATCACTCTGAGGTGGACATCAGCAGGATCCAGAGGGTAGGTGCTGGTGCACTGAAGGATGACAAAGTTTTCATTCTGCTTCTTAATTATCTTGTAGACTTGAAGCATTGTTTCCATAGATTGCATCCCACTGGACACCACCATGGGACGACCTGACACAGACCAGAGAACAGCTGACTAAGCATTTTTGTACTGTTTACTTGGGAAAATGGATTTCCAAAAATGTTTATAAAATTAAAAAAAAATGTCTAATAGATGGTTAATGACCTGCATTTATTCAGATCATCTAACAGCTAATGGGCCAGTGGTTGGGTGATCTTTACATATTCTTCATTTACCAGAATGTCTTTTAAATAATTTTAGAGTGTGAAAAATATTCTGAAAGCTATATTTTTGCCCTGTTGCATCTAATTACCTGGGATTTTTGTTTCAGTTGATTTGCATTTTAATTGCATCCTTACCATAAATGGCAGATTTCTGTATTTGATATGATTCATCAATACTGCAGTGACTGAGTAATTTTTCTAAGGAGCAAGAAACGTATCATTCTTGGTGAAGAAATAAAATCCAATTGTTTTTCATATGATTTTTCTGCAAACCAATAATAGTGAGTCTTTGTTTTATTTTTCAAACACGCACAGAAACTCAGCCTGGTGCAGTGGTTTAGTTGTCGTCATTCATGCTCACCTTTCTTAGCTGTTTCCTCCAGATAAGGAAAGTTGTTGGTGTCTGCAGAAGCCACTTTGAAGAAAGGCACATTGATTTCATCCAGAAACCTCACTGCCATCTAAGACACAAGTGTTGTTGTCTGGATCCAAACTTCTCAGATCATCAGAGCATCACTAACAAAGGTTTTCTTACCTCATCCATCCCAGAAGCTGTGAAGAAGATGCTCAGCTCTGTGGCATACTTCTGCAGCTCCCTGTACTGCTCATGACTGAACTCAAGGTGACGCTTGTGATCGCTGTAGGTTTCCCCCCAGGAGTTTTTGGAATTGTAAGGGCGCTCCAAGGCTTGCTTGTTAAATCTGCACGACAAGTTGCTCTTTTGGAATTTGGCACAATCTGCACCACAGTCCTATGGAAGTGGATATTTATGAATGTTGGACGGGATTTCACTGAAACAATATCTTAATGCAAAAACCTTCTGTAACTAATATGCACATGAGTAAAATTAACAACTTTTCTAATTCACAAAATTCTGCTAATTGTTGAGTAAAGAAAATAAAACGTCAGTTGAATGAAGAGACGGATTCATCAGGCCTTGCTGTGAAAATACATCAAAACACACTTAAAAGTAAAACAATAACTTTTTTCTGTAAAACACAAATGCCTTCAGATAGTGTTGCATGTTGAGCCTCGTCATATTAGACGGGTCCCAACTGCTGCTTATAACTCATCACTGCTGATTTTGCCACCGTGCAAGGAAATGTGTTCTAATCACACACAGGGCCATGATTCTGTCCACACATTTTACTGTAACAAGTTCATTGTAAACAATTGCACCTCTCAGTGACACGTTTCTGAAACTTAAAGATGAAGTTCCCTGAGCAACCGTGTAATACTTGTTCTTTATGAAATACATTGGGTCACTCTGAGTGGCATATGCATGCTGAGCATGAAGATTCACTTTAACCCCCATTTCTTGCATTGGTCATCAAAAGCAAATAGACAAGGTAAAGATTAGGTCAAAAAAAGAGCTCTGCAGCTCTACGTTGCATTCATGGTCTTGCCCACCTTGGCTTGCAACTATGTAAGGCTGCACTGATTTTGCAGCCAGCTTTAGTAACATGGAGGAACACAGTTTATCGATTGCACCTCTGATTCAACAATAAGGCTGCAGTTTAAGCCAAAAACAATGATTGCACTTTGGATTGGAGTGGATTGACCCACTGTTAGGTAGCTGAGTCCCGCCATACTTCTTTGTCACACCCTGCATGGAATAGGCTTCTCTACCATGGCCTCAATCAAGAAGAAGAAGAAAAGATATTTTCTTTAGCGCCTCTCAAGATAAAAATCACGAGGCGCTACACAAAAACAAAAAATGTAAAATATAAAAGGACAAAGACAAAATACAGATTATAACTGCACATTGAAAATAACTCTGGGTGACAAATATGTGAAAATTAAAGAAGTCCATTTTGCAAAACAAAACATAAAACATTTTGTTCCTCTCTGGAAGATTTTCATGCTTTTAAACCTATTTTTGCAGTTAACAATATTTAATTTTGCAATTGTTTACAATTATAAAAATTGTTGCACTGTAAAAATAAACATCACTAGCTACATTTGAAATGATTACGCCGCAAAGGTGTCACGAACTCCTCCTCCTGACCACCCCCTACGGACCCAACTGGTGGACTACTACACTTCCCAGCATTCCCATCAATGGCGTGGCTCGTCGACGTCATCACGCCGACTCTATTTACGGAAGTGCCGCCGCTCATTCATCACTCAATCATCGTTCATACCAGACATCGACCCGAGTTCTCAGGCTTACCAGCCCTCAAACCAGGAAAGGGATCTTTCCACACTGTCTACCACCAGTAAGTCAGCTTCCTTATTTATTCGGAACTGCTGCTCAGTCTTGGCTCTTTCCAAGCGCTGCGCCGCCGTTCCCAGATCAAAGCTGCGTGCTCTGTTTAACCCAACGCTAGCCACTCTGCGTCTGGGTCACGCAGTTACGCTACAATCAACCTCCGCTACACTTCAGCTCAGCCAATCGAACCTGACAGGATGACTGAGTCTAAGGTTGACCCAGCGGAGTTCGCTCACCTACGTGCAGAAGTGGCTCAACTTCTCACCCTTGTAGATCGACAGACGGCAGACATGACCCAGCTTCGTGCCATAGCAGATCGCCAAGCCTCTAAGCTCGAGTCTGTTACCGAGCTAGTTGTCCAGTTCTCCACTGCCCTCCAACGACAGGCCTCAGCCGTCACTGACAACATGGAACCACGTCTCAGTCTCCCAGACAAGTGGGTTGGGACCAGGGGGTCCCCGGAAGGCATGCTGGCCACCCTGGCAATGACGTTTGAGTGCCAGCCGGCGCGCTACCCCACGTACTGTTCTCGTGTCGCCCTGCTGACCTCCCTGCTGACGGGTCGGGCCGGTGAATGGGCGGCGGCTCTTTATAACCAGAAGTCTCCTGTCTGCAACAGTTATGAGACCTTCGTGAAGGAGATGGAGAAGGCGTTTGTTCATCCCAGCAGCGAGGTCGCGGATGAGACCCGACTGCTTTAACTCCGCCAGGGCTCCCAGACGGTGGCCCATTACACCTCCCGCTTCCGGACCACGGCTGCTCGGTTGACTTGGGACGCCGCCGACCTGAAGGCCGTTTACCTGGAGGGGTTGTCCCCCCGAATCCGTGAGGGCATAATCAGACATGAGGCCCCAACCTCCCTGGACCTGGCGGTGGACCTGGCCCTCCAATTGGACCGCTGCATCCTTAACCGACCGAGCGCCATGTCGGCTCCCGTTCACACCAGAATGTCACCCCGTCGACAGTGCAGCCAACCGACGGAGGAACCCATGCAGCTGGGACATCTTCCCCCTGAGGAACGGGCACGGTGTTACCAGGAAGGATGATGTGCCTACTGTGGGGATTTTGGCCACCACCGTGGCACGTGCCCGAGACGACCGGGAAACAGTCCCTCCGGGTCGGAGTAGGGGCTGTCCTGCCCGGAGTCTCCACTTTGCCAGTCCCACATCGCACCACCCTCCCGGTCTCCCTCCAACTGGACCAAGGACCGGCCCGACTGGAGGCTCTTCTCGACACCGGCGCCGCTGAATATTTCATCGACCAGGGTCTGGTCACACAGCTCAAGATACCCCTTACCGCTCTAGACCGACCCATTCCTGTCACATCAGTGGACGGCCGTCCGCTCATGCCATATCCTCTCACCCACCGAACCCAGGACCTCCACATGACCATCAGTCAACACCTGGAGACCCTTCACTTCCTGGTCATTCAGGCCCCGGCTACTCCCCTCATCCTGGGTCACTCCTGGTTCGGCCGCCATAAGCCTCACATATCCTGGTCCACCACTAAGGTCATAACCTGGGGCGCGGGTTGCCAGACCCACTGTAGTTCCCCTGCACCCCGGACTCGATCAACACCTCCCAGGGATGTAGACCTGACACTCATTCCTCCACAGTACCATGACCTCGCTCAGGTCTTTGCCAAGGAACCCACAACCAGATTACCCCCTCATCGGCCTTATGACCTGGAGATTAGGCTCCAGCCCGGTACCACCCCGCCCCGGGGTTGTCTATACTCTCTCTCCCCGGCGGAGACCCGGGCAATGGACTCCTACATAACCGAGGCCCTCCAGAAGGGGTTCATCCACCACTCCACATCCCCCGGTGCTGCAGGGTTTTTTTTTTGTGAAGAAGAAGGAGGGGCATCTCCGGCTCTGTATTGACTACCGGGGGTTGAACAAGATAACAATCCGGGATCGTCACCCTCTTCCTCTCATGGGTACCGCTCTGGACGCCATCACCCAAGCAGCCCTCTTCACCAAACTGGACCTGCGCAGTGCTTATAACCTGATCCGCATCAAGGAGGGTGGAGTGGAAGACCGCCTTCATCACACCAACCGGCCACTATGAGTACCTAGTTATGCCTTTTGGCCTCTGCAATAGCCCCGCAGTTTTCCAACGATTCATCACAGATGTACTGAGAGACATGTTGGGCCTCTGGGTTTTCGTATATCTGGATGACATACTCATATACTCTCACACGGCCGAAGAACACATCCGGCATGTTCAGGCCGTTCTGTCCCGTCTCCTGGACCACAATCTATATTGCAAACTGGAAAAGTGTGCCTTTCACCAGGAGTCCACCTCCTTCCTGGGTTTTACCATCTCCTCTCGGGGCCTGAGGATGGATCCTCAAAAGGTTCAGGCAGTGGCACAGTGGCCACTACCCACGACCCTGAACAGGTGCAGAGTTTCTTAGGTGTGTTCTTGCTGTGTCTTTCTAAATCCATTCTTTCGTTCTTTTTTAAACACAGAAACAGTTTTGTTTACCTGTTAGTAGCTACAGTTTCGCCGACAGCTGCCGGCTTCTTCAGGATGACGCTGATGGTGGCGCGTCACTTCCTTCTCCGTTTATCTGCGGGCAGCAGAGGACGTTGTCGCCCTCTACTGCCCGCTCTCCCCTCTCCGACGATGCAGTCCCATGCGTGGTCCAGCGTGTAAACTCCGTCGTCCCTGTTCATGGTCCCACATCCACGTCTCCTTATCTCTATTGCTTCCTTGATCCATCTTTTGTATTTTTGTTGTTCGGTGGTTATGATCCGTGTGCTGTCCCAGTCCATTATGTGGTTTTCTCTTAAGCAATGATCTGTTACGGCTGACTTTTTTATTGTGCTTTCTGCTTCTTCTTTTGCTGCTCTTGTGTGTTTACGATTTGCCTCTTTCTCGCACTCCTTTCTGTGTTCTATTGTCCGTGTATTGAGTTGGCGTCCGGTTTCTCCTATGTATGTTTTATTGCATATTTTGCATGGGATTTCGTAGATGACTCCACATTTTTGTCCAGCTGATATTTTGTCTTTTGGGTGCACTAGTCTGTTTCTAACTGTTGTGTATGGCTTTGTTGGTGTGTTTATGTTGTGTTTTTTCATTGTTGCTCTAATTTTTTCCGTTATGCCTCTGATGTATGGTAGGGTTATCACTGGTTTTTGTTCTTGTCTTTCTGGGTTTCTGGTTCTTTTTTTGGGTTGTTCTTTGCTTTCTATCCTTGTTTGTTGTTTTCCTTTGTTTATCGCCCATGTCGGGTATGCGCAGGTCTTTAAAGCGTATTGTATGTGTTTGTCCTCTTGTTTACGGTCTCTCTCTTCTGTTATTATGTTTGCTCGGTGATATAATGTTCTGATTACTGACATTTTGTGTATGGTGGGGTGTTCTGATGTCCATAATAGATATTGGTCTGTGTGTGTTGGTTTCCTGTATGTGTTTATGTTTAGGGTCCCGTCGGTCTGTCTGGTGATTTTCATATCCATAAATGCTATGCTGCCTTCTGTTTCTGACTCATAAGTGAATTTTATGTTGCCCGTGTCGTCAATGTTGTTTAAGTGTTGTGTTAGCGCATACCCGACATGGGCGATAAACAAAGGAAAACAACAAACAAGAATAGAAAGCAAAGAACAACCCAAAAAAAGAACCAGAAACCCAGAAAGACAAGAACAAAAACCAGTGATAACCCTACCATACATCAGAGGCATAACGGAAAAAATTAGAGCAACAATGAAAAAACACAACATAAACACACCAACAAAGCCATACACAACAGTTAGAAACAGACTAGTACACCCAAAAGACAAAATATCAGCTGGACAAAAATGTGGAGTCATCTACGAAATCCCATGCAAAATATGCAATAAAACATACATAGGAGAAACCGGACGCCAACTCAATTACACGGACAATAGAACACAGAAAGGAATGCGAGAAAGAGGCAAATCGTAAACACACAAGAGCAGCAAAAGAAGAAGCAGAAAGTACAATAAAAAAGTCAGCTGTAACAGATCATTGCTTAAGAGAAAACCATATAATGGACTGGGACAACACACGGATCATAACCACCGAACAACAAAAATACAAAAGATGGATCAAGGAAGCAATCGAGATAAGGAGACGTGGATGTGGGACCATGAACAGGGACGACGGAGTTTACACGCTGGACCACGCATGGGACTGCATCGTCGGAGAGGGGAGAGCGGGCAGTAGAGGGCGACAACGTCCTCTGCTGCCCGCAGATAAACGGAGAAGGAAGTGACGCGCCACCATCAGCGTCAGCCTGAAGAAGCCGGCAGCTGTCGGTGAAACTGTAGCTACTAACAGGTAAACAAAACTGTTTCTGTGTTTAAAAAAGAACGAAAGAATGGAGGTGCAGAGTTTTCTGGGCTTCTCCAACTTCTACCGCAGGTTCATACGCAACTTCAGTTCCCTCGCAGCACCTCTAACCTCCCTCACCAAAGCTACCAACCAGCCTCGCCCTTTCCTTCTTACCCCGGAGGCTACCCGTGCCATCCATGATCTGGTCCGTTGCTTTGTGAGTGGACCCATCCTCCTCCACCCGGATCTGACCCGGCCCTTCATCATGGAAGTGGACGCCTCCGAGGTGGGAGCGGGATCCGTCCTCTCGCAACGAGGCCCGGACTCCAAACTCCACCCCTGCTCTTACTTTTCCCGGAAGTTCTCCCCTACACAGCAGAACTATGGGGTCAGCGACCGAGAACTGCTGGCAATAAAATGGGCTCTGGAGGAGTGGCGGCAGTGGCTCTTGGGTACCACCGACCCTTTCCTTATCTGGACCGACCATCAGAACCTAATTCACCTTCAGACTGCCCGTCAACTCAATCTTCGCCAGGCTCGGTGGGCCCTCTTTCTCGAGCCTTACAATTTCCACATCACCTACCGGCCCGGCTCCAAGAACCTCAAGGCGGACGGTCTCTCTCTGCGTTTCTCGCAGGAGACAAGCCCTCCGGAGCCTCTGACCATCCTACCGGCCCAACGCTTCTTGGCCCCCCTCCAATGGCCTCTGGAACAATCCATCTGGGCTGCTCTCCTGCTGATCCGGCATCCCCAGAGACTCCCCCGAACCGCCTCTACGTTCCGACCGCCTGCCGACTGATGTGGGGGCATTGTTCACAGCTCGCTGGACATCAAGGCCAAGCCCACACCCTTCAGTTGCTCCGTCGGGCCCTATGGTGGCCTTCTATGAGGAAGGACGTACGCGAGTTCACGGCCGCATGTGATGTATGTGCCCGGTCCAAGTCCTCCACCCAACCTGGCACCGGGGACTTGCAAACGCTCCCCGTGCCCAAGCGGCCGTGGTCGCACATCGGTCTGGATTTTGTCATGGGACTGCCCGCCGTCGATCACCTGAACACTATCCTCACCATCACTGACCGGTTCTCAAAGGCCGTGCATCTAGTGGCCCTGGCTGGACTCCCCACTGTCAAGAGAACGGCCGAACTGCTCCTTGAACAGGTGGTGTGGCTCCATGGTTTCCCCCAGGACGTGGTATCCGACCGAGGACCCCAGTTCATCTTGCGCTTCTGGAGAGCCTTCTGTTGTCTGGTCGGCGCTTCAACCAGTCTGTCCTCCAGGTACCATCCGCAGACTAACGGTCAGACGGAAAGAGCCAACCAGCAGCTTGGACGTTACTTACGCTGCTTCGCCTCGTCCCAGCCGTCCACCTGGCCCCGCTACCCCCTGTGGGCGGAACTGTCCCACAACCTCCAGACCTCCTCTGCCACGGGTCTGTCTCCCTTCGAGACATGTTATGGATGCCAGCCCCCTCTGTTCGGCCACCAGATACCTGAAGTGGAGGTTCCTGCTGCTCAGACTCTGGTCCGCCGCTGTTGGTTCGCCTGGATCCGGGCCCATGCGGCCATCACCCGGACCAACACGGAGTACTCCCGTCAGCATCACAGCCGCCACCGGCCTGGTCCCGTCTTTCAGCCTGGCGACCAGGCGTGGCTCTCTTCCGCCAATCTGAAGATGCCGGCGGGCTCCCGGAAGCTCGCTCCCCGCTTCCTGGGTCCCTTCCTGGGTCCATTCCCTGTCATCATGCTTAGACTATTGCAACGCTCTTTTTACTGGTCTCAGCAAAACCTCCCTCTCACGCCTTCAAGTCATCCAAAATGCAGCAGCCAGACTCCTAACCAAATCCAGCAGATGAGCTCACATCACCCCAGTTTTACAGTCCCTCCACTGGCTCCCGGTAGAATTTAGAATACAGTTTAAAGTTTTAGTGCTGACCTATAGAGCTCTTAACATCCAGGCTCCAAGCTATTTATCTGTGCTTTTATCCCCACACACCACTTCAAGGAACCTCCGATCCACATCTGAAAACCTCCTGGCTGTTCCTCGAACCAGACTAAAAACCAAAGGGGACAGGGCCTTTCAGTCTATTGCCCCCAGACTTTGGAACAGTCTGCCTTCAAATCTCCATCTCTTGAAATCTGTAGAGGTCTTCAAAAAACATCTTAAAACTCACCTTTTCATCCAGGCTTTCCCCTGCTAAATATTCTAAAAGATGGCTTTGTTCTTGTTCACACCTTGACTTTGTTTTTACTCCTGATTTTGGTTACTATTGTTGTCACTGCTATTGTTTTTATGATGTTTTTATTGGTTTGAGGTATTTGCTCTGGTTTTACTCATGTTGTACAGCGCTTTGTGATTTATATCTGTGAAAGGCGCTATATAAATAAACTTTACTTACTTACTTACTTACTTCCCTGTCCTTAGGGTCATCAGTCCGGTCACTTACCGGCTGCGCCTTCCGGCCACTCTCAGGATTCACCCGGTCTTCCATGTCTCCCAGCTGAAGCCGGTGGTCTCCTCTCCACCCTCCTCCGGCCCGGGTGCCTCCGCCCCGCTGTGTGGATGAGGATCGTGTTTACACTGTCCGCAGGTTTCTGGATGCCCGCTGCCGGGGATGTGGATGGCAGTACCTGGTGGACTGGGAGGGTTACGGTCTGGAGGAGCGTTCTTGGGAACCCGCTTGCTCGTTTCTCGACCCGGCCCTACTGACTGATTTCTGGGCCCGCCGTCCTGGGACTTCGGGAGCCGTCCCTCGGGGGGGTCCTGTCACAAACTCCGCCTCCTGACCACCCCCCAACGGACCCAACTGGCGGACTACTACACTTCCCAGCGTTCCCATCACTGGCATGGCTCGTCGACGTCATCACGCCGACTCTATTTACGTAAGTGCCGCCGCTCATTCATCACTCAGTCAACGTTCATACCAGACATCGACCCGAGTTCTCAGGCTTACCAGCCCTTAAACCAGGAAAGGGATCTTTCCACACTGTCTACCACCAGTAAGTCAGCTTCCTTATTTAATATGAACTGCTGCTCAGTCTCGGCTCTTTCCGAGCGCTGCGCCGCCATTCCCAGATCAAAGCCGTGTGCTCTGTTTAACCCAACGCTAGCCACTCCGCATCTGGGTCACGCAGTTATGCTACAAGCAACCTCTGCTACACTTCAGCTCAGCCAATCGAACCTGACAAAAGGTGGTTTATTGCTTTGTTGTTTAAAATAGGTTGTAGGGTTGTTGTTTTTTTTTTACTGTGAGCTGTCATTTATTGCAGTTTACTTGTATTTGTTACACTGTTCAATGAGGTCTGAGGAGTGAAATAAACTGCAATGCAGTTTGAAAGATATGTATGTTTTTTTGTCCCAAAACTGGTGCAGTACTTTTTCAAAGAAAGAGAAGTTCAGCACTAAAAAATTGGGAACTACTGCTTTTGTCCAAAAATTAATTTGCTCAAAAAATGTTCACATCCTTAAAGACAACTAAAAAAAAACATATTTGCATTTACCTTTGCCATCTTGATCATTTGCTTGGCAACATTATGTCCCCTTGATGGTTCTGTCCAATCTCAGCTATGATGAAGCAGGGATGGCTCCCTCCGACCATCCGTCCGGGACAAAGCTCAAACGTCAGAGGCATTTGGTGAGGGTGGATGAAACAAGCGCAGCTGATAAAAGCAAAAGAAATCTGTCTGATCAGACAATGAGCTTTATATCATGGTGAAAGGACGCCCACTGACGTGAAGCTGTGATGGTTAGTTTTACCAAGCTCTCAGACCACTCCCACTCTTTCAGCAAGAAAGCTTGATCATGCATCAAAACATGTGATGGCAGTTATTGTTTATCTGGACTCTGTTAAGTGGATAAGGTGAACCTGACTGTTACGTCCCTCAGCTCGCCAGGAGTGATGTGGTAGAGGGAGTAAGAGATGCGGTGTGTAGGTATAAACAGAGTAATTTGTGTCTCAAACAAAGGATTTTTATTAACACAAATAGCCTACAAAAGGGAAAAAGGTTAAACATAAAGTGCCAAGCCAAAAGGGCTGGGAGGAGAAAATATGTTTAACTTAAAATATTCAATATATGTACACAAAAACTAAACTCAATATATTTACAATTACTAAACAAGAGACGTCCTGTTAAGCAGAGACGCTCAGGGGAAATCCAAAAGGGGGAGTCAAAGGCCAGTCCAAAGTCAAAATACCATAAATCCTAACGAACACGAGCATAAACCACTAACTTAACAAAGTACCATGAAGCAAACACACCAGCACAAGCACACGAGGAGAAGAGAGCAGTGAGAACACTTCCGTGTCCACACTTCCCTGTACCTTCTCTCTGACCTCCTTTGCTGAACACATGTTTTACTGTCATCAACCATAATTAATCATTATAATACCCAAAGCATAATAATTCATTTCATGTAATTAAAATACCTTTATAATGAACCAGTGATCATTTATGATGGTTCTAATAAACAGTAATCAAATCGATGAATTTTATTAATATTATCATCTAATTATTATCATCCTGAACTTGAAGTGTCCTTCTCCTGGGACGGAACAGCAGCCGATAGGATGATATTTCTCCCAGACATCATGGCTCCTTGGTTAAGCTGTGGATTTAAAAGTACTGTTTGACCCAGCTTGACCCAGCTGGGCAAATGTGACCTTTGCAGGGGCGTAGCACCAAATTCTGGGCCCTAGGTACAAGTCTTCTAGGTGGGCCCCCATGCTCAATTGTTTAATATCTCTCTTACACATTTTTTGTCATGCTATAAGACAAGATGATAAATATGATCTTAGTTTAACCTCTATATTGAGCAAATACAAATGCCAGCATAATAAAAGTGAAATGCCCAGACTTCACCGTCTTTGTGTTGATGCACATACCTGACCAACAACACATTCTGTTCAGTGTGGTATGTCTGGTGTTGAGTCACAGATCACGGAGTAATATATTGCATCCTCTCTTTCTGCCAGGATAGCGTTAAGGACTCTTTTGCCACACAGTTCAATTAACTCATTCTGAGTCGCAGCACTGAGATAATGAGTTAACCGTGCCCCTTTCTTCTTTTGCCTTAGCTTTTCCAAGTGCTCATGTAAAAGGGGATCATAATGTGACAACAACTCAAGAGTGCCTAGAAAATTGCCATTATGGACATCATCCAAATTTGATGGTTTGCCTCTGAATGCAAGATTCCTTGAAGCTAAATGAAGTGTCACATCCAAAAGTCTCTCTAATATCCTCTTATTCTTCTCTACTTCTGTCAGCATTTGTTTTTGAAGGTGACCATCCACACCTGTTTCTGCCAAAAGTGAATGCTGAAGACTTTTCCATTTTAGGTAGCACTGCTTGTGGGGTGCATTTGTCTCATGTTCTGGTAACTTTCCATACATTTTTTTCCATTTTATGTTTGCCAACTTAAGTCCATCCTTGCTGCTCAGTGCACTCTTTGATGGCTTTGTCTGCTCATGAGGAAAGAGAAGACATGGGATGCAGCACAGAGCCTTTGCACTTTCACTGTAAATAAGCCAATCTCTTCTTATCTTCTCACGCCCATTGGCTGACTTAGCATATTGAAGATAATTTGGAAATGGCTTGCCCTCCATATCTTTGGGTGTTATTTTGTCGATTCCTGGTGTTTGATCACTTTTATTCGCCAGTCTTCTGACAATTGTATCTCTCTGTTGACCAGTGAGCTTCTCTGGCCATAGTCCTGGATCCTCTGGCAGACACTCATCTGTGTTGCTCAGCCTCTCACTGTCTTCTTCTTCTGGCCTCTCATCATCCTCACTATCTTCAGAGCAACCATCCCCTTCCCTTTCTTCACTTACATCATCCTCTTTCACATATTCTATCTCTTTCTCTAGTGCAAGGGGGACAGACACCACACAAGCAAAATGGATCATGAATTAGGTCACCAAAATATAACCTAACACGTCCTTTCAGATTAATCTGCTGCTAATGATTGCTTGTAAATTGAATAACTTAATTGTATAGTGAGCTCACTTTGTCTCATCTCCTCAGTGCTTTCTGGAGACAATGAGGGCCCTGCTGCTGCTGCTGCTGCTGCTGCGTCTAAAGGGCCATGTGGTTCATGATGTTAAGCTTTGCTAATACTGATATATATTAATATATTAAATACATATGACATGAAATAAACAGGTTCTCTCTGAATGTAATGTACTCTAAATTTTATAATCCCTGCATTATCAGCCAAATTATAAGATTGTCCGTTTTCAAGATCAAATATAAAGAAATTTAAAATAGGCTTAAAATATCTAACCAAGTCAATAACAATCCTCTAACACCAGTGTCATCATGCTATACGAAAAACAGTAGCAGCTTCACATTCCTGAGATTACCACGAATCCATCGATACCAAGTTTGTCCTGGTCCATGACTGGGAAGGAGCTGAAATATCCACACAGAGTGAACCTGTTTTTACTGCGAGGTCCGCGAATTAATTGGCGGCGGCCACCCGCGATAATAATTCTGATTAATATATAAATTAATTAGTATTATCACTGATAACACTAATTAATTTATATTTGATCTTGATGGTGAAACTAAAGGCGTCTAACACTGAACACCTAACATGAATGCAGCTTCTGAGAGCTAGCTAATATCAGCTAAAACTGTGTTCTGCTGCTGCTGGCTGCTGCTCACCTTCCTTCTTGAAGAACCTAGTCAATACTTGCTTCTGTTCAATTAACTTTTTCTCCTTCTCCTTCTTTTCTTTTCTGGAAGCCAGATTGCCCTTTCTTGGGAAAAGACATGACTGACTCTCCTGCCTCCAGCTCTGGCTGTCGGCATCTGCGATGTCTCATAAGCTGTACATGCGGCGTGCAGCCCCTGGCCGCTGGTGTGGACTAAACCACTTTGCACATTTTTAAGGGGTGATAGATGCCTCAGAGATTATTCAGTTATTATTTTTAAGGCGAAATTCTGTTTCTTAACCTCTTTATCCAGGTAAAGGGAAGTTTATCAAGACATTAAGTAAGTTGGGGGAAAAAAAACAACAACAACAATAAAACATTTTTATTCAAAGCTGTCACAGGGCCCCTCCCTGCAGTGGGCTCTGGGTAAACAGTACCCCCCCCCCCCCCCCCCCCCCCCGTCCGACACCCCTGGACCTTTGCCACAAATTAGAGAACCTTCATCACGTTACACTTACATTGCTATGGCCAGCTGAGAGGCTTCTCTCTCTCTCTCTCTCTCTCTCTCTCTCTCTCTCTCTCTCTCTCTCTCTCTCTCTCTCACTCACTCACTCACTCACTCACTCACTCTCTCTCTCTCTCTCTCTCTCTCTCTCTCTCTCTCACTCACTCACTCACTCACTCACTCACTCACTCACTCACTCACTCACTCACAAACACACGCACACACACACACACACAAGTTTGGCCCAGATCAGGAAGACATGGTCGGCGTCTCATTTACTTTTATTTGAGAACCAGCTCAAACCAGTAGGCGGTGTGTGTCCCTCTGGCCCGGTGGTGCCAGATCCCTGTCCAGATGATCATTGGGTGAATAACTGGCTTCTGCAGGGATTCATAACCTGCTGAACATGTCATCCAACCTGAGTAATGTGCATTCTTGCAGGGTAACAACTAAAATATGTTGGGACATCGAGGATCAGGGTTGTACACCCCTGTCCTGGATTGTTGTAATTCCAAGATAAGATAAAACCTGTCAGCCTAGACAAAGAAGAACAAAGGATGGGCATACTCAGATCAAGAAATGTTTGATTTGTTAAACACAGAAGAAAGTATCCTAAATAAAAAAAAACTCAGAGGATTAGGTGACACAGAGTAAGAAGCTGTGGTCTGCATTCATTAAAAAAAGAGAACTAGGGAGTGTTCTATCAGGGGATCACAGTGCTGAGTAGTTTTAACCAATGGTCCAACCTCAAATCCAGAAAAGGCTGTAGAGCAGTTCCCAAGATCCTTGTTTTCATATGAAGGGGTCAAGAGAGTTTTATTGAAGCAGTCCAAAAATATCTTGTGCCGAAGAAAGCTCAAAACTTTGTCCCAAAATAATTCTATGGGAAGAGCGGGGGTCACTACTCAGACCACCAACAAACCAAATCATGAGCTGAGTCTGCATCCTCTGCAAACACCAAATCAGTCCCCAGAGCTTGGTTGACTCATCAGGAGTGTTCTTTTGTCACTAGTTCTGTTTAGTAGTGGTGTTAAAGAGACACTTTGAAAAATTTCGTATTTTTAAAATCATTTCTTGAGCCAGTTTGTGCTAAAATGACCCTTTACAGGGTTAATGAAATAACGCCCAGCCCCTATCGCCCCCTGTGGCCAGAATATTCCACTTGCAACTTCAGACTGGTGAGCTGCTCTGTTGGGACTTAGAAAAATGAGCTGACATACTTGGCGCTGCAGTCTGCTTCCAGCCCATTTCCTGCTTGTTTTAGATCATGAACACAGCTGAGTTGTTTAATTTAGTGATGAATCACTCCTGTAGACATTAAGGGAGGCTGGAGACCTTATAGCTGATTAAGGTGTTGCATAAGTTTTGTTTTTAGTTCTACAAACGGACACTAGGGGGTGCTAAAAGCAAGCCTAAACAACACTAGTTCTCTTTTAAGGATCTCAAGATGCAGTCAAGGAGTAGAGGAAATCTGGTTTGGGAGGAAGTGGAAAAAATAAGCCTGATGTTTTGTTAAAAACATTGTGTTAAGATAAAACAAGAGACGGACAAATTAATCAAAGCCTTGTCCGCTGCAATAATGCCCTTGGACGTGTTTGGACAGAAAAAAGGAGCTCAGCTGAAAAGAAAAGTTCTTCGTTCACTGGCCCAAAGCCCACAAGATTTGGGTGGAGAATGTGGAGCTGAGTCATTTGGAAGGACTTAGAGCTGCTGATACTCCACATTGAAAGTTGAAATGTCTTCTGGTTGCCTCCAATTGGGTGTTTCTTAATGTCCTCCTGGGACAGACTTTAAAACTAAATGTGAGGACAACATATCCCAACATGTCCAATATGGAGAATTCCTTCTCCAGGTCAGGGATGAGGTCCTGCCCTAAGTGGAGGAGTTCAAGTATCTCTGGGTCTTGTTCACGAGTGAGGGAAAGATGGAGTATGAGATCGATAGGCGGATTGGTGCTGCGTCTGCAATGATGCGGGTGTTGTACCGGTCTGTCGTGGTGAAGAGAGAGCTGAGCCGGAGGGCAAAGCTCTCAATTTACCGGTCGTCCTACATTTCTACCCTCCTTGCTTAGGCTACTGCCCCCACGGCCCGACCCCAGATAAGTGGCTGAAAATGGATGGATGGATGGATGGATGGATGGATGGATGGATTAATGGATGGATGGATGGATGGATGGATGGATGGATGGATGGATGGATGGATGGATTAATGGATGGATGGATGGATGGATGGATGGAACATATCCCTTTAGGTCTGGGGACAACCCATTTTCAACCCCCCCATCCCCATTTCAACCAAACCATAAGTGAGTCTTTGGACAGGATGGATGGAAATAAAGTGAAGGGGTCCTGGATCATTTTCTCCATAGCTTCCTCTGATTTTATGAGTGAGTAAAAAAAAGGATTTCATAACCCTCGTGTAGAACGTGTGGAAAAGCAATTATTGTGGAGGGCCATTGTAAGGTGTTCATTCTAAAGAACACTTCAAGTAAAGGACCCTGTTGTCTTTGAGAATTATGTTTTGTCCAAAATTAACCAGAAACTTAAATGTCTCTGATTCAGTCTGACGCATATTTGAACTGATGGACATTTGCTTTTTGTGTAATTTAGTCTCAGGTTACAGTTGCGGCAGGTTGATGCCGCAAGAGAAACTGGCAGCAAACAAGTTCTTTTAACATGGCTTGTTCCTCCTTTTATGATTAAACAAACAGTTTTACGTGATAACAGGATGGGTTTTATAGTCACTAGGCCGTTTGAGCAAATGCTCGTTCTGTTGCCAATCTGATAAATCTTGTTATCTGTGTTTCAGACCTCCCACACCCTCCCAGAGAAGGAAAATGATTTGGCACTATAGTGGATGTGCATTTACCACTGGTCCACTTCGAGTCAACCTGATAAAAGATGGCAGCCATGGCAAGTGACATTAATTAAAGGGACTTTACGGAGTTTTGAATTTTTATGCTCGCGATTGCCCCCTCAGGCCAAAAGCGTAACGGCAGCTTCAATAGTAGGCTCGTGCACGAGGCGCGCATGCTGTACGTGCACACTCCTTAACGAAAATAACAGCTGAGACAGTCCCTTGTGTGTGTGTGTGTGTGTGTGTGTGTGTGTGTGTGTGTGTGTGTGTGTGTGTGTGTGTGTGTGTGTGTGTGTGTGTGTGTGTGTGTGTGTGTGTGTGTGTGTGTGTGTGTGTGTGTGTGTGTGTGTGTGTGTGTGTGTGGCCCGGAGGACAGAGGACAGGAGAACGCGCAGCTAATTAATTAAATAATTTGGTTCTGTACCTTTCTCTTCAGCACAGCCGGCAAAGGTTTAAGATGGGTCAGTCCTCCTGCATGCTCAGATCATTCCCTTCCCTTGCTTGAAAAATTGTTCCAAAATGAAAGCTGAACCCACATCTTTTTTTTATCTGTGAATTCAATGCCGTTCGGCGAGTCTCAAATAAAAATGTGGGCATCTTACTGTGAAAAAATATACCATTATTGTAAAAATTTGACTCTAAATAAACTATGTTCACATCCAGATTTGAACCCAAGTCTGCTGCGTGACAGTCCAGCGTCTTACTACATGAGCTAAAGCACCAGTGACATCTTTTAAATGTGTAATATTTATATCCTTGAACACAGCGATCAAAGAACGGTTTGGAGCGAAAATGGCTATTTTGTTGCTAATTTGCAGGAAATATCTAGAAGAAAGTAGCTAAGGGTCCTCAGAAATGTAGCTAGGTTCGTCACTAGGTGTTAGGAACAGCAACAAAGTTGCTGAGTTGGCACTACTCTCTGCTGCTAAAGCTACGGATAGCAAATGCTACAGGCGATGCCTGAGCGTGAACGCGCATGAAGCAGCCTGCTCGACCCGAGCAGCTCTCTTTTTCTGTGATTTTACAGAAAAACAGGCAATCACAGTAAAAATGCCAGGGCTCATTCTACAGGACCAGGGCATTGCAGGAGAATGTATGAAGAAGACATTTATTATTTCTATACATGTCAAACTTCCATAATGCCCCTTTAACAAATATTTGCTCAAGCTAAGTCATTTTAAGGTACTGAGCTATAGTTTTACCACATTTAAATGACTAAAGATTGTGAGACCTTTTGCAACATTACAAACTATTTCTAGAGGATAGCCCATTATTTTGAAGATTTGATGAGGGCTGCACCATCTCAGTCATGTCTAAAGATAAGATGATTTTGTGATGCTCTTTTCTATGGGAATACACACAGGTGTGTGTTCATCAGATGATAATAAAATAAAACTATACACCCTAGAGAAACAGTATGTGATGATTAGCAGCAGGGTTTCTATGTATCCCATGATGATGTGATTTTCTTCAATAAATCTGAATCACAGTCTGAGTAAGGGAAGATAATTTTCAATAAAATAAATTTAACATGAGTTGAGTTGAGCTGAGTTAAAATATCAAAAGTTGCTTTAAGATAAAATTAGAGGGGGAGAGAAAGGAAGAGGAGCAGAGAGGAGAGGAAAAGATTTTCAGATGATGCATAAAACATAATTTAGATGAAATAATGTTTCTTTTGAGCTGTTTTGTGCTTTTAATCTGGTTGGGATGCATATGTCAATGATGAAAAGCAGCTTAAAATGCACAAATCGTGTCTATTTGCATCAAATCACAAATATTCAAACATAATATCAACGTTTACACTTTGAGATTTCCTCAGATTTCCAGAACCTTTTGAATACAAGTTTATATGGATTCACCAATAACTAGTATCTAACCAATCATTTTCTGATGGACTTTGGCACCAGCCAAATCACTTCCATGTAAATGTTTCACTCAGAGCTGAACAAAGAACGTCAATTGTTTTTTTATAGGTTCCTTGTTCCAGAACAGGTCAGAGTTCAGATTTAAATGAGCTCAAACCATAAAAATCAGAGCTGCAACAGGAATAATCAGATGATGAAAGCTAGATGTTGATTTTAAAATTGATGAAATAAAATAAAAATAATAATGAAATACATCTTTTGTTGTCCATGACTTCAAATGGTGTCCTTCTGTTTGGGATTCTGATAGTTTGTCCTAAAGTTGAATTGGTAGCAGCCGGCTGTTTCTCCTCTGATATTATTGAATAGAGAGCCTCTCACACCAATGGTGTTCTGTTGTAAAATGTGCAAGTGCATAATGAGTGGAGGAGCCAGGTAAATGCGGAAGTGTAGTAGTTTGGTGAGACTGTCAACTGGATGGTCCAATCGTTGGTTTCAGGCCGAGCCGTGTTATTGGGGGAGGTTTTTTAGACAAATATGAGAGAATCACTTCATTAATTATTAAAGTATAAAAATAAATACAGAGCCTTGTTGACAGGCATGAAAAAAGTAAACTAGCTTGTTTTGCTAATTCGCTATCATAGCTTTAATGCAAACTGATGTTTCGACTTACCTGAAAGCATCATCCAGCTGTTTTGCAGCACAGCAACAATCCCAACCAGAGTTAGAAACTTCCTTTGATTCATGACTCATGTCAAGAATCTCACCCACACCAAGTAAAATTACCTTCATGTCTCATTTTGACCTTGGACTATATTCTAAACTAAGTAACCTTTAACAATTAGCACCATGTCCAGCATCTTCTGTTCTTCATCATTTATTGCCATACTTGTCCACCACATCAGGCCTGATGCTCTCATCCTCCTCCACGTCCTTTTTCATGGTCTTTCCAACCAGCTTGAAGATGTCCTCAGCTTTGATGCCCATGGGCTCAGCCACCTTCACCCTCAGCATGTCCAGAGTCAGGACCGTCCCTTTGGTAAGCTTTACCTTGGCCACTACAGACTTGCCCAGCTGGACGAAGAGAAATCATTAGCAATCAGATTATTACTATTACTAACATTATTAAATTAATATAATAATTATTACAGTAGAGCTATTGGGATTTTAATCTTCATCCAAGAGTTTAACCAACCTTGGAGTGGCATGATTCCTCAGAGGGGAGCATCTTCTTGATGTTGCTTCCCATTGCTGTTTCCACCAATCGAATGGAGCGAACCAGTTCAGCCAGTTCAGAAGGCTCCAGTGAGGCTGCATGGTCACTTCCTTTCCATGTTTTGTCCAAAGTTACATGACGCTCTATGACCTTTGCGCCCAGAGCCACAGCTGCCACCGATATAGCAATTCCAGACTCGTGGCCGGAATATCCAATGGGAATATCTGGAAACTCCTTTTGGTATTCCTGCAGTCCATAAATGGGTGAGGTCAGACTCAGTTTTAATTATATAAAAAGTCCCATCCTATTTAGCTTTCTGATTTAAGAAAAACAATATCTTCGTTTAAAGTAACACTAGGTACTTTTTCAAAGATTTATCACTGATCTCAGTGATTGTTAGTTAGAAACTTGACCAGTTTCATATTTGACACCACTCTGAAGGCCTCTGCTGATGAAAAACTGTACTTAACAGTTCTCTGGAGTGGGCAGGTGCTCTATAAGGGACGCTCTTTAGCTGCTTTACGGATGTTAGCTGTTATGCTAGCTTTTTCACTTTGCCAACAGGCATAAGAAGAAGAAAAATAAGTAGTTTGCTTGTCAGCTGGCATCATGGCGGAGCCTGGAAGTAACAGAGCAAAGTCTTTGGAGATGAAGCAAAGAGCTAAAACCCAAGTGAAAATTGGCATAGCCTACACTAGTGTGAGGGAGCTAAAGGAGGCTACAAAATGACGAACTGATGGTGACCTGGCTTTTTTGCTAACCTACAACAACCTGTTGCCAAACCAACAACCTGTTAGATTTTATTCCAACAAGTCAGCTATGCCGATGATACTCGAATATATTTATCAATGAAATCTGATGGATTCACTTAGTTAATCAGAATCTGAGCACGTCTTCAAGATAGCTGTAGTGATTTTGGGACATGAGTGACCTGAATACAAAACTATGTAGTTAAGCCCTTACTCTTGATGGGATTAAGCTGACCTCCAGTACAAATCTAAAGGACCTCTGTTTTATTGGATTGGAAGATGTCCTTTTACTTATGTATATTCCGCTTGCGACATGGCTAAAATTCGGTGAACCCTGACAAAAAGCGCTACAGAAAAAATGAGTACATGCATATTTCCTGAATCTCATTTATGTTCATGTATTAACAAAGTTCACAAGAACAATAGTTTATTCACCGGGATCACTCTGAGGTGGACGTCAGCAGGATCCAGAGGGTAGGTGCTGGTGCACTGAAGGATGACAAAGTTTTCATTGTGTTTCTTAATTGTCTTGTAGACTTGACGCATTGTTTCCATGGATTGCATCCCACTGGACACCACCATGGGACGACCTGACACAGACCAGAGAACAGCTGTCTAACCATGTTTTGGGAAAAATGCTAGAATATCTAAAAATATGTATTTAAAAAAATTGTTCCATCCTGGATGGTCTAACAGGAAGTTGACCAACGAGTGGGTGATCTTTACCTCACTTACCAAAACATTTTCCAAAATATTTGAAGACATCATGAAGAAAATTAAGGGGCAACAACCATGTCATTTATGGTGGCAAAATAAATCACAATGTCTTTCGTATGATTTCCCAACACACCAGTAATAGAGGGTCTATGTTTTGTTTTAAACACACAAAAACTCTGTCTGGTGCAATGGTTTAGTTGTGGTTATTCTTGCTCTTGGCCAGATAGTCGTAAATAAGAATGAGTTCTCAGTCAACTCATCTGGTTAAATAAACAAATGCTCACCTTTCTTAGCTGTTTCCTCCAGATAAGGAAAGTTGTTGGTGTCTGCAGAAGCCACTTTGAAGAAAGGCACATTGATTTCATCCAGAAACCTCACTGCCATCTAAGAGACAAGTGTTGTAATCTGGATCCAAACTTCTCAGACCGAGCATCACTAACAAAGGTTTTCTTACCTCATCCATCCCAGAGGCTGTGAAGAAGATCCCCAGCTCTGTGGCATACTTCTGCAGCTCCCTGTACTGCTCATGACTGAACTCAAGGTGACGCTTGTGATCGCCGTAGGTTTTCCCCCAGGAGTTTTTGGAATTGTAAGGGCGCTCCAAGGCTTGCTTGTTAAATCTGCATGCCAAGTTGCTCTTTTGGAATTTGGCACAATCTGCACCACAGTCCTATGGAAGTGGACATTTATGAATGTTGGACGGGATTTCACTGAAACAATATCTTAATAAGAATAGCTTTATTAGTCCCTCAGTGGAGAAATTGCGGTAATGCAGTAATGTAAAAATTGTACCCAATATGTCATCGTTAAACTGTTGACAAAAATATCATTTAATAAAGTAACCAGATCTTGCTGTACTGACATCCATACACCCACATCAAGACACACCCACTCTCATCAAGACACACCCACTCTAATCAGGACACACCCAACCACATCAGGACACACCCACTCTAATCAGGACACACCCACCCTCATCAGGACACATACACTCTCATCAAGACACACCCACTGTCATCAGGACACACCCACCCACATCAAGACATACCCACTCACATCAAGACACACCCACTCACATCTGGACACACCCACTCTCATCAAGACACACCCACTCTAATCAGGACACACCCAACCACATCAGGACACACCCACTCTAATCAGGACACACCCACCCTCATCAGGACACATACACTCTCATCAAGACACACCCACTGTCATCAGGACACACCCACCCACATCAAGACATACCCACTCACATCAAGACACACCCACTCACATCTGGACACACCCACTCTCATCAGGACACACCCACTGACATCAGGACACACCCACCCACATCAAGACATACCCACTCACATCAAGACACACCCACTCACATCTGGACACACCCACTCTCATCAGGACACACCCACTGACATCAGGGCACACCCACTGACATCAAGACACACCCACCAACATCAAGACACACCCACTCACATCTGGGCACACCCACTCTCATCAGGACACACCTACTCACATCAGGACACTCCCACCCACATCAAGACACTCCCACTCACATCAGGACACATCCACCCACATCAAGACACATACACTCTCATCAAGACACACCCACTGTCATCAGGACACACCCACCCACATCAAGACACACCCACTCACGTCAAGACACACCCACTGTCATCAGGACACACCCACCCACATCAAGACACACCCACTCACGTCAAGACATACCCACTCACATCAAGACACACCCACTCACATCAAGACACACCCACTCACATCAGGACACACCCACTCACGTCAAGACACACCCACTGTCATCAGGACACACCCACCCACATCAGGACACACCCACTCACATCAAGACACACCCACTCACATCAGGACACACCCACTCACATCAAGACACACCCACTCACGTCAAGACACACCCACTGTCATCAGGACACACCCACTCACGTCAAGACACACCCACTCACATCAAGACACACCCACTCACATCAAGACACACCCACTCACATCAAGACACACCCGCTCTCATCAGGACACACCCACTCACATCAGGACACACCCACTATCATCAGGACACACCCACTATCATCAAGACACACCCACTCACATCAAGACACACCCGCTCTCATCAGGACACACCCAATCACATCAAAACCCACTGGAAATGTAAATGTAAAAATTATTAAGGTTTAAACAAGGAAAAATAGCCTTATTGTGTGCACTAGATTTTTGTTAATATCGTGAGGATTTTTTTCCGGGAGGGTGTGCGAATCTCCTCATGATTTATGCCAGACAAGAGGAATGCTGCAGAACAGAAAAAGAGAAAATGTGTATACAAGATAGTTCCAATACTGGAGGGATCGGAATATTTCACATGGACTTTTTTAATCTCTATGAATAAAATACAAAAATGCATGGGCAATTTTTTTTCTGTGGCACTATATATCAGAGTATAAACCTGGTACAAGACTGGGGCTTTTTAGGAGCAGCTTTGGTCGGTTACTAATTTCCACTTATTTTTACTGAAATATCATAGAACTGCATTTGCCTAAATGAGGTCTATGAACCATGTACTTACTAAAAAAAAGAGACATTTTTGACCCTATAGACCCATAAATTGTATTTTTTTCACATTCTGAAAATGTGTGACTGAACTTAATCTTATGGCAATCAGCAGAGCTGATTATGTGCAGCATAAAAGCTGCTATTCAAACACTCACTGAACTCGTTTTCGCGTGAAAGAAACCGGTTATGTTTGGAACTTGTTTTAACAACACAAACACATCAGATCGAGCATCACTAACAAAGGCTGCTGCAATAATAATAATGGTTTGGTTGAATAACTATATAAGAAAGAAAGAAAGAAAGAAAGAAAGAAAGAAAGAAAGAAAGAAAGAAAGAAAGAAAGAAAGAAAGAAAGAAAGAAAGAAAGAAAGAAAGAAAGAAAGACGTTCTTTTATAGCAGCAAAAATGTTGATGATCACGTGCCCATCTCCTGTGGACTGACAGATCACCCGAAATGATAATGGCCATCATTGGGATGATAACAACAAATTCGCTCTCTCCTCCAGATGAAGCGCTTTCCTTTCATGAGTTGTTCAGTCTGACTAATGACGACAAGATGGAACATGAGAAAAAATATTAAAGGCAGGCACATCCAGCTTCACCCGCTTCACTCGCTCAATCACGCGGGTTCTGCGTTATCCCGCTACTGAGCGGCTGCTGGTTGCGTGGACTAGGTTCGCTCACCTCTTGCACACAGAGCAGGAAGACACAGACTGTGACCAAGTTGATGGATTAACTTTTTTTTACGTGAAGTAGTTTTTCTTGCTGCATCTCTTTCGCACTTAACGCAGCGGGGGTTTATGGCGCGCGGAGGGAGAGCCACATCCAGACTCCAAGAAGAAATTCAGACGTTCGGATGGTGCGTTTATGGTGCGTCACTAATTCATGTGTGTAAAGTGTTCGTGCGCTCTGGGTCTCCTGCTTGGCGTGTGGGTGGCTCAAAGAAAACAAGTAATGCCCTCAAATAGGTGACTAGAAAATAAAACGAGGGCATACACTACAATGGTTTCGCGAAGCTTCTCGCTGGATAAGCTGATCCACAGAGCTCCAAGGTGCCGTGCGCTCTGCTCAGTTTGGCGCAGCGGTGCGCCGTTTTTGCACTACTGCGCAAAGTGCTCGTCATTGCCCGTTCAAATCTGAAATAAAACCCATCTTCTAAAGCTCATAAACACTCCTGAATTAGATGAGTTGGTTTGATTTTCCTCTTTTCAACAAACCCATCTAAAAGAATGCTTGATATATATTCAGATCGCACAAAATAGTTTAATCTAATTGAAATAAGTTTATTTACCTTTGCCATCTTGATCATCTCCTTGGCAATCTTTATATCCCCTTGATGGTTCTGTCCTATCTCAGCTATGATGAAGCAGGGATGGTTCCCTCCGACCATCCGTCCGGGACAAAGCTCAAAGGTCAGAGGCATTTTGTGAGGGTGGATGAAACAAGTGCAGCTGATTAAAGCAAATGAAAAAGACCGGCTAACCACGATGATGAGCTTTATATATAGCCAAGAACGCCCATTTGCATGACGTCTTTACAAATAGAAAAAAAAAATCTACTCAGAAAGTTTTTAGACTGACAGCACAAATAATTGTCTGCATTTGCTCTTTTTCAAGTCCAAAAACCCCAAAACGCTTTACAATCATTTATTCACCAGCATTGACAGAAAGAAACACATTCCACATTTTGCATTTTTCATAATTATTTATCCTGTTTTATGCTAAAGCATAAAACCTTCTCTGCTTTTACATTTTGGGAACTGGGAGACATTTTATTTTTGAGGATTAGACCTATAAATAGTAAAAAAAAAATTCACGTTCTGGATATTTGTGACTAAACTTAATGTTGTCTTTGCAATCAGCTGAACTCGTGCAGCAAACACTCACAAAACTCGTTTTTTGTGTGTGAAAGAAACCGGTTATGTTTCTGCGCAACTTGTTTTAACAACACAAATACATCTGAAGCGTGGAGCTGCTGCTGCCAGTGGCGGTTCTACATGGAATTGCTCCCTGGGCGAGGCCCCCTTTGAGCGATGTGATTGATAGTGTGATGAACAGAGGACGGAGGCTGCCGAGCTCCGAGGGTGTGGTGATTGGACACCAGCTGGTCCTCGTTGTGGATAACGAGGCCAGGGAGGATAAAGGGGTGACAGACCTACTGAGAGGCGTGCGTGGTCGACTTGTCATTGTGGCATCGGACTTTGGGGGGTGGGGTCGTTCGCAGCTGGTTAGGGCTGCCGGCGACGAAGATAGCCAAACAGGTGGTTAGAGTTCCAGCGTCAGGAGGGAAGGCTGGTCGCCTTCTTTAGACAGCTAGGGCTGGGCTTAGGTGGTGCCAAGACCACGCCGACATCTGCCGCTACGGACTCTGGCAGTGGATTTACTTGTGGACTTACCCGCCGTCCTCGCAAGCTACATCCCGGGGCGTTGGACGGTGCTGGAAGCTCAGACCCCGGGGAGGGGGGTCACACCATCCGTGACAGCTAAGTACCGCTGCTTGTGTGTCTTATGCCGGACTGTGATTTTAGGAGTGGAGACTTTGGCCACAGTATTTTAGTATAGGTTTTATGATTGGGGTTGATTTGTGTGTTTTAGTAGATTGTATAATAAAGTATATCCTTTTATAAATCAGTGCCTACTGGTGGTGTGTTCAGGTTCTGACGGGAGGGCAAGATATTCTGCCCGTGCTGCCCACGGCTACTTTTATTACACTGGTGTCAGAAGTGGGATTTAGCAATCCAAAATGTCAGAACCTGGAAATAACACACCTCCTCCGTCAGGACCAGCTGAAAATCAGCCCGTAAGCACAGCAGCTCGGCCGATTTTTATGCCGGAGAGCTTTTCCGGTGTTGGCCGGGAATGGACAGACTGGGTTGAACAATTTGAAATGGCAGCCGATATAAATAACTGGGATGAGCCCCTTAAGTTGAAGTTTTTGTGTCTCCTGTTGTCTGACAAAGCTCGAGAGTTTTATAATGGCTTGTCAGGGAGTGTTAAAGCAAATTATGCCATGTTGAAGGAGCAAATGGGCAAGTGTTTGGATCCGTGCGACAGCGCCGACTGGAATAGAGCTGTTTTCTCCGCTCGACGTAGATGGCATAATGAAAGTGTCCTAGAATTTGGGATGGCATTACGACGATCTGCTGTTAAAGCTTACCCGACAGCGGATCCCAACACACAAGATTTGTTGGCTAAAGATCAGTTCATAGCTCATGTGGGGAACGGGGACATGAGAGTGTGTTTACGGAGTCCCAAATCCGTGTCACTTGAGGAGGCCATCAACCTAGCGGCGGAGCTTGAGCTCATTAAGGGTTTGGAGACCAGCTCAGTATCTGACACAAGAGTGAGAGGGATAACCGAGAAAGATGTTGATGATGGACGCATTGCTTCGCTAGTGGGGGTGGTTGAGAGCTTGAGGCAGGAGGTGAAATCCCTCCAGAATGTGGTGCACACACTGTCGGTACCTGTTGCATCGGGTCCCCACCATGACACTCAGAATACGAACTTGCAGCCTAGGCAAGAATATTCCCGGAAAAAGGGAAATGGGAGGTTGGGAGGCTGCTGGGAGTGTGGCTGTAACCGGCATTTACGTCGGGACTGCCCTTACGTGCAGGGAAACTAGAGGGGGCGTGTACAGTGGGTCAAATGCCCGCCCCCCTCTCTGTTGTTGAGACCCCTGTAAGAAGAGGAAATGCTGGGTACTTGAAAGCCAGGATAGGTGGGTGTGACTGCCAGGTTCTGGTAGATACAGGAGCCTCCCGTTCTGTGATTTCGCGAAAGCTGTGGTTGTCCTTCACCCGAGGGGTGGGTGAATTAACTCCATATGAGGGTAATGTTACAGCTGCGAATGGGGGAGGAATGTGCATTATGGGATGTTGGCAAACAACGTGTCAGCTGGGCCCCCTGGCTTTCGTGGCGGAATTCTTGGTATCAGACATCCCCTCAGATGAGGTGTTATTGGGATTTGATTTTCTGTCCAAACATGGCATGGTGGTCGATCTGGGTACCAAAACGTGTAAGATCATGGGCAGAGTGTTCCCACTGCTCGACTTGGAACCTTCTTTAAACCCACAGGTCGTAGTGGTGCAAACGGATACCGTAGTTCCGCCGCGGAGCGAAGCTATAATACCAGGACAAATTAAGGACAGCTGGGGTGATTATGCCCAGGGGTTGCTAGAGCCGTCTGAACACCTTTCTAAGCGCTGTGACTTGCTTGTGGCGAGAGTTATTTGCAAGGTTGACCAGGGCCAACTCCCAGTGCGGGTGATAAATGTGAGCGATGACCCACTAATGTTAAAAGGCGGCATGAGAGTGGGCATGCTTTTCACTGATGTTGAGGTGGAAGACGAGCGGACAGATCGGGTGAATAAGGAGCAAGGCTCTCAGCCTTGGACCGTAGAATCTTTGATGACCCAGTTTAAAGTTGGTGAGAAAGGGTTCGCCCCTGCGGAAGTTGCAGCAGTTAGACAGCTGCTCCTACAAAATCTGTCTCTATTTAGTCAAGGGGAAACAGACTTAGGAAGAACACAGATCATCTCGCATGAAATTGACACTGGGGAGGCTGCACCCATAAAAATGAACCCCCGAAGGATTCCACTTCATTTACAACAGGAAGTGACAGATAATTTGAGAGACATGTTGGCAAATGACATTATTCGCCCCTCATGTAGTCCGTGGGCTGCCCCAGTGGTTCTGGTTAAAAAGAAAGGGGGTGGATATAGGTTTTGTGTGGACTATAGGAAACTGAATGAGGTCACTAGAAAAGACGCTTATCCTCTGCCCCGAATCGATGATGCTTTGGACAGCTTGGTGCATGCCAAATGGTTTTCAACCTTAGACTTGGCTAGTGGTTATTGGCAGGTAGAAGTAGACCCTAGGGACCGGCACAAGACTGCTTTTATCACTCGCCAGGGATTGTTTGAATTTAATGTGCTCAGTTTTGGGCTGTGTAACGCCCCTGGTACATTTCAGCGCCTTATGGACCTGATTCTGGCTGATTTGCAGTGGACTGTTTGTCTAGTTTACCTGGATGACATTATCGTGTTCGGGCGTGATTTCCAGGAGCACCTAGCACGTCTGGGCACGGTTTTGGAGAAGTTGAGGCAGTCTAATCTAAAAGTAAAGCCTTCTAAGTGTGACCTTTTTTCTACACAGGTCCATTATCTAGGTCATGTGATTTCTGCTGAAGGTGTTAAACCAGATCCAGCTAAAATAGAGGCAGTAAGAGAGTGGCCCATCCCAGCTAATCAGACGGAGGTCCAGAGCTTTTTGGGCCTGGCGTCTTATTATAGACGGTTCGTGAAAGGCTTTGCGGACATTGCTCGCCCATTGCACCGGTTACAAGAAAGAGGAAAACGCTTTCAGTGGAGTGAAGAGTGTCAGGAGTCCTTTGAGAAACTTAAAACCTGTTTAATAACTGCTCCTGTATTGACCTACCCCGACCCCAAGAAATCATTTATTTTAGATACAGACGCTAGCGAGGTGGGGATTGGGGCTGTATTATCACAGGTTGAAGGGGAAACAGAGCAGGTTATAGCTTATGCTTGTAGGGCTCTTACAAGGCAGGAACGCAAATATGCCACGACAAAGAAGGAGCTCTTGAGTCTGGTTACATTTACTAAGCACTTCAAACATTATTTGTTGGGTAAAGAATTTGTGCTAAGGACAGACCACAACTCTCTACGATGGCTGCATAACTTCCAGAGTTTGGAGGGACAACTGGCTAGATGGGTAGAGCAGCTGGCCAATTTCCAATACAAAATCATTCATCGGCCAGGTAGACTGCATAGTAACGCGGATGCCCTTTCCAGACTGCCAAATTGGAAACCAGAAAACTTATCAGCTGACCAGGGAGCGCAGCCCTTGGGAGCTGAGTCGAGGGTGTGCTCGCTTCAAGAGGGAGGCTCAGGAGCTAGCCGGACTTCAGAGATGGACGAACTCAGCCAGGCGCAGCTAGATGATCCAGTGCTGAAGCGAATCAGGGATGCCAAACAGGGTGTAGAGAGTATAGGCCCCGATGACCCAGAACTAAAACCATTTGCACCTGTGTGGGATCAACTCGAAATTCGGGGTTCCCAGTTGGTGCGGGTAGCACCAGCGAATTCTGATGCTGCGCAGGTGATCCAGGTTGTTTTGCCTCGGGCTTTGGTGCCAGGGGTCCTGAAGCAGTTGCATAATGCCCCCACAGGAGGCCATCTGGGGGTTCAAAAACTGCAGGGCAAGATAAAAGACCATTTTTATTGGCCCAATTGGTTTAAGGACGTAAGGGCTTGGGTTCGTGAGTGTGCGGACTGTGGCTCTGTTAAAATGCATGGAGGAACGCCACGTGCACCCTTGGAGCAGTCACTGACCTCTAGGCCCTTCGAGCGCATTGCCGTGGATATTTTGGGTCCACTTCCTGAAACTGGACTGAGAAATAAATACATCATGGTAGTAGGTGACTATTTCTCTAAATGGACAGAAGCCTTCCCACTCCCTAATCAAG